TTATTGAGGTATATTGAATTATATTACTAAACAAGGAAAATTGTATGTTGTAGAAATCTAATTATTTCCTAAAATCAGTAAAATCAGTTTTTAAAATGCAAATATTATTAGGTTTTTTTTAGAAATATATAAATCAACGATTTATTGTTCAATGTAGTCAATTTATATTTTATTTATTTATATTTTACATTTCTGAATTTTCTAAAATTATTTTAAAGATTATTAATCATTAAATATTAAATATTTAAAAAATTAGCTGTTCGAAATTGAAAAATAGATTTAGTATTTTCCAAAAGCATTCATCTTTTCTGGTCAACCCTTGTTCGCTTATCAGACCAAATAAATTTTGTTAGGGAGTCTTTTGACGATGGAACCAGAGATGAGCCACCAGCAATACTTGGATTTTGAAGATATGAAGATTTGAAGAACTAATTTATTTAAATGGCAATAATTTAAAAATAATTTAATATAATTTAAATGATAGTTTTAAATGATAAAATAAATCTTATCGTTATTTTTTTCTTAAGTAAAAAGCCCAGTATTCGTTTTATTTTTCCAAATATATTTTTCAATGCATTTAAACATTTGCGATTTAATCGACGGAAAATTAGTTCGTGGCTAATGAATGATCATCTTCAGAGATAATTTGTTAGAAAATCTTCATTTACACGTATAACTTTATGGATTAATTATGTGGAAAACATATGAAAATTAAATTTGTTTTTAGACGAAAATATCGAAGATTTAATGATATTAAATGGTGTTTACGAAAGACCAAATCATTGTGCATCAAGTCTGTTTTGTGTTGAAACAGCTGCATCGCCTTCCATGATAACTTCAAATCAGGTACATCTGTCTAAATTTTATCTTTTTCCTTTAATGTAATCTCTTTTTAATGTAAAGATAAGTTTGTTAGATATGATTAGTTGATAAGGTGGTTAGAATCGCCTAAAATGATTTTATAATAAATTTCTTTTCCAATACTAAAAATTTTTTAAGGCGAATAATTGTAAAAGATATGTATTCCTAAAATAAATTTACTCTAATTTTTTAGAAGCATTTAAAAGAGCGCTGCCTATCAGTTGAATAAAAATAGAACACTAAATCCAGGATTCGTAAATTGATTTATTTTTTAGCATGTGCTATTTCTAATTTTATTTTTTCCACTTATTACTAAGATGATTCTTTCAGCAATGAGTTATTTCAAAGTATTGTAGAAATACAATTTGGCCCACAATACTTACTCGGACCTCACCTTGAAATACTTGTTTGAAGTCGGTTACTTAGCTATATTTGAAAGGCGGAAAATATTCGTCAATTATATGTTCTGGTTAACTTTACCATGTATCATTTAGTTGTTTTATCACTTGGATTAAACGAACTTTTCACAAATAAAAAGGTAATTACGCAATAGTATGTAATGAAAATGAAAAACATAATCAAGCGAAATCTTGGATTCTTTAGAAATTATTCTGACTGACAAATGATAATACGACCTTAACCTTATCAGTTACATATCATCGTTTTCTTATCGAATTCATTGCTCATATTGTGGGTTTGATAACTCATGTTTGCCGAGCGATGTATATTACGTCTTTATGTTTCATCATTCCTCTCTTATCACCATTTACTTGAATATTTATCCATTATGCATACTGATTGTTATGGAAACTCATTGGAATTTTCCCTTATGTACCATTCGATTATGTATCTTTGGAGGATGGTCGATGAACGGTAATAATATGCAAAGATAAACATTCATTCTACATTTTTTAATAAATTCAGTGGTTTTACTGTTATTACTTTAAATAATTTATAGATATTATAAATGTTATAACATTAAAACATTTCTTATTTTTCCTAACTAAAATTTGATTACAGGGTTTCAGCAAAAAATCAACTTCAAATTGCATATTTATATTTATTGAATCTTGTTAACAAGATTATGCACAGAGCTGGCACAAAATTTAGATGAGCGCTTAATTTTTTAACATTTTGGTTTCGATTAAAATTTTTATTTTAATTTATTTTTATTTTATTTTAGTTCTAAAAAAAATTCCTTGCCAGCATGGCATATTTTCTAGAGTTAGAGTTAATTTAGGAATGTATTATAGAAGGATGGAATCTAATGTTCTATACTTGATTTTCTTTATAAAAAATACAAAAATCTGATATTTTTTATTATTTTAAATGAAAATGATGCACCAGTGAACCACTTATTATGGTGTAAGCTATATTATATAGTGGCACTAAAAATTCTATATAATTTTACAAGCTTGAAAGAGCAAAAAAAATTTTCATAAATTATAAATTATCGTAAATTTTCACTATGCAGATTTTAATTATTTAATTTCGATAAAATATTAGCCTTAAAGTTATCTTAGCTCAAGAAACAATAAAAGCAATTGATTTTATCAATCAACGGTTCAAATCATTATAAAACTTTCTTTTTTTTGGTATCTTCAGGCCCGTTATCAAATATTGATTTTAAGCACTTATTTTTATCGAAGCTATTAATAATAACAGTCGCACCATAAAAGTAACAGCTGTATATAAATTATTTTCGGCAGTAATATTGGTAGTGATAGGGGATAAAACTTGTTCATTCTGAGTCAATAATCCTTCCCGATCGCACAATTCCCTAGTAAACCCGTTGCGCTGTCTCCCCCCGTTCTCTATGATATTACTTGTATCTTTTCATTGCTCGTTGTCTTTTTTTTTATTATTTACATTGATAATGATAGGTTAATGTTTGGTCTTAACTATGAAACGAGAGTGGCATATCAAACGCTAAATTTTTTTTTGACTCTTTTCCAGTTCACTAAATTCCAACTTTCAGGCCATATAAAATTAATGCCTTAAAATTTTTAGACTCGCATTTCTATTTGTCAAAATCTGCTAACCACTGGCATTAAAATGTTCTCAAAGCGTGCACGACTGAAATGGCTTACATTGTAGTTTTAACTATAGTTCTATAGATAGAACAATAGAAAACTAAAAGGCATCGATAATGTGTTGAGGCTAAATTGAAAAAATGCCTAAGGATATTTCCTTGCGAAAAAATTACTTTTGAAATTACTATCTGATTATTGTTCAGTTAGAATCAATAATTATGTAAATTTGGTGCCAAATTTAATGAATTTAATTGAATTATAATAGTTCGAATACGGAAAAATATAAATATTCGCATAAATATTTTAAATAATATTTTATTCGTTGTTGTGCGATTAGATAAAAAGTAAAAGGATGAAATGCTTTCTATTTTCTTTTTCGTTATTTTCAATTTTTATTAAAATTCAATTTTAATAAAAATTTTTAAAGTGAGAGAAAAGAAAAAATGAAATGAATTTATGCGTTTATATTATCAATAAATTTTCAAATTTTATATTCATATAAAAATAGATTTTGAGATTCAGTTTTGTGGTTATTATTTCCTTTAAAAATGCAATATAATATACTAATCACCGAGTTCGAATTAATCTATTATTTGCCTAAAAGCATGATAAGCGATTTACCAAATCACTTATAGTTTGTTGTTCTCATAAAGATTTAAAAATTTAAAAATTTGACGTTCTCTTTCAAAATAAAAATACACAAATTAAATGTTATTTTATCATGTAAATTCGGCAATACATCGTATAATATTGTAGATTTTTATAAAAAAAAATATAATTATTAATATGTTTCTTTAGCAAAAATTGAATTGATATAACTAAAGCGTACTGTCTAGTTGGTGTTGCAAATGAATTGTTTTTCAAATATTTCATCATTTTCGCTATTTTTGTAAAAAATATAAATATTCAGTAAGAATGGATATTTGCGGATATCGGAAGATGATATGATTGATATGCAATCAGTTATAGGATGCGTGATAGTGGAATGGTTACCATTTAGATTGTTGTTTCTGAATAAGAATTCAGAGTTCGAACTCTGACTTTAAACCTGTAGACCGGGAAAATAAACCTGTTATCAAAAAATTCCGACAGAATGAACCAAACCAGAAATGATGAGCGCCGACCACTTACTTACTCTTTTTCTTCACAATCAGTCACAGCACAATGCTTATATTAAGCACTTTCAAAAATGCCAAGCATTTCTTTTTTCCATATCAGTATTGTCTTTTCTGTAAAAGTATTAGGGAGAAACGCCTCCTTCAGACATGAACTTGCAGTTCCAAAACGTTGCTATTTTTTCTTGGTTCAATGACGGCAACAAGATTATCATTGTTTTTTTACACTGTAGCTTTGGTGAGTTATGATTTTTCAATACATTTTAATACATTTTAAACATTCCTCATTTTGTTAAAATGAGGATCGTAAGAATTATTCGGATTTCACTTTCACTAATAGATTTAAATCATTCAATTTCTTCATTTTATTGCATAAAGAAGGACGCAGAAAGAAGGATAAGAATTTATATAAGCAATTTGCGCCCACCGTTTCTTGTAGATTCACTTCATTGACTGTTAGCATAATCAGAAATTTTTGCCATGAAGTGTCACTTGGCGATAGAAGTAGGCCACCAGCACCACCCGTTTTTGAATTAGCCTGGTTTAATCCTGTGTGATGAAGGAACCGACCATTGAATCACTAAACAATAATCTAAACTACTAACCATTCGATTATATTGCCGACATAAAAATTGACATACAATCAAGAAAACTATCCAATTTAAAGATTTCTCTTACAAATGACCGGTGAGTATTTTGGGTAAATAAAAAGCAAATTTTAGCAAATTTTTATGATATTAGGTGATTAATCTTTTGTTTTCATTTGTATTTGCATATATATATATATATATATACATATGATTATTTTTATGATTATATATATGATTATTTTTCTTCGCTTTTTTTTTAATCAGTTATTTTGTCTTCGAGCAAGAATTCATGATAAATCGTTCTTTGATAATTAAAACTGTCGTCGTAAATCGTCCACATTTTTTGTTTTTTTTTTCATCGTAAAATGAATTTTTAGATATAATTATAAAATTGTATAAGGTGTTTGAACGGAATGTTGGCCACTATGAATGGCACAACGCATCCCACGAACAATAGCACAACAAATTCAAATAATTCAAAATTGGCTGGTAGGCAGCATTGCTTTTTATGTGACCTCCCTCGTTGGCCTTGGGCTATGTGCAACGATTATTTGGAACCGGTATGTCGAGGATGTGTCAATTACGAAGGGGCAGACAGGCAATCTTTTTCTATAACATTGAATATCGTTCTTTGAAATGATTAGATACAAAAAAAAGACTAGGGAACTATAAACGACCAGTTTATGCACTATCAATATATCAAATAAAAACTGGTAAACCAAAAATTCGAAGTTAAATTTCTACGAAGAGAAGCAAGGAAAACCTTTTTTCTTGCCAAATCCATGAATGATAATTAATGATAAATGAATGATGTTTTTGAAATTTGTTAACGAATATTTCATCTTCTTGCACTAATTTCACCATTGTGTAGATTAGTTTTTATTGGGTAAATTAGGTGAAAGAAAGAAATTATGCTTGAAAAAGTACAGTTTGTAAGTACAATTTCTATACAATTTTTTTTTGCTTATTTCAGAATAGAGAATGTAATCGAGAGTGCTCGTCAGCTTAAACGAGTACATGGTTTTCCTGTTGGCGAATCAGTGAATTCCTTATCAAATCGATCAGCTATAAATCAGGTTCACATGTTAATACTTGTTTTAGACATTATCACGTTTTATCACTGTCCACTTTTCTCCGGCTTTAACAGCTTGTAAGTATTAAAATGATTGCATAAAATATTTTAAAATTTCCAGAAGGAATCATTGTTGCAAACAACTGCCGGAAGATATTCACCAGCAGTAAGTCGCGGGGTAAATCCTGTACCACCATCAACTCAACAACCTATTGTTCAACAGCAGCAACAACAAGTTGCAGTAGCTGCGGCTGCTGCGGCCGCAGTCCAAATGCCACAACTACCACAACTAAATCAATTGACTGAAGTCATCATTATTCATATATATTAAATAATTTGGAAAAATTGGCCATAAAAATAAAAATTGATGTCCATTTAAATAATTCAATAAATATTTTAGGCTCTAGTTCAGCAACAACGTTTCATGACACTTGCTGGGAGGCCGCCAGGTCAATTTACTGCCGAAGATTTACACACTTTGCAACAATTGCAGAGACCATTACATTTGCAGAATCCTTTAATACAACACGGAATTCCAATGGGTAAAGGCATTTAGATATTTGAAAATTTTCATATTTCTAAAATTTTCAAATACAAATGCTGAATTCGTTGTCCTTTCAAATCTAAGTTTGCCTACGATAAAAAATTATCATTTATGATTTTCTTTATTAAAGGTGTATTTCCGAACCTTGTCGCAAGTAGCGTTGCTAGTCTTTTACCACAAAATGCTTCACTTGCTGCTGCTGTAGCTGCGTCCAGAAAACGAGAACATGACATCGATGATATCAAGCCTGATGTATACGGTAAAGTTCAAAGAGGTAAGAAATTTTATCTAAATCTAAATATCATAATAGATCGCAATTTGACAACAAATTTGATTGGCTTTACCTAGATTTTATCATATTGTTGCGTATGGATTACGTAAGAAAATAGGGATCATCATCTATTCTCGATTAAAAAACCGGTTGTATTGCTAGATTCGGTTCATCTAAATTATTCGACATTCTTCAAAGGGAAACCAGTTTTTCATTCCCTTTGCCAGTTAGTCATCAATTTTTATAAGTAACCTTTCTCGCTGCTTTTTCTGTAAAATAAAATAAATTCACGTACTATTCCATCATTGCAACAATGTCAGCAGCATTTCACATTCATCATGAGAAGTTTGCGGTAACCGGTATGATTAAATAAGGTAGCTGAGCATAAAGATCGACTGATTATTTATTTAAATATCACATCATAAATTGTGATGTAGGTTATGAAAATTATTGCGATTATCGATGGAATAGATTATGTGGGTGAAATATGTGAATATAGCAATGATCAAGAGAGATAAATAGGAGAGAAATTGAAATTGCATTGCGGCGATTTCGGGCAAAAAAGAATGGTCGTTCCAAGGGAACGATTCAATGGAAAACCGGAGAGTTAATTGATGACGCAAATATGAAGATAGTGGACGAGTTAAACGAGGAAGCCGATTGTCAAAGGGTCGACTGGTACAAAAGAACGTTCCTCGGGTTTATCGACCCCAAACTTATGTGTTATTATATCGGAAATGATTCTTTTAGGCCGAAAAAAAACCGGTTGTTGTACCACTGTAACACATGGTACAATTCTTGCTTCGAAATAATGTTTGTAATTCGATGATGAGTTATTTTAGATTATTTGTATATTTGTAAAATGAGGGATTTGTTGATCATTTCTCAAGATTTTGCTAATTTCTGTCCTTCGACCTTCTGCTATTTACACATTTTACCTAATTACCTTGCGATTTAAAATAAACTTTAAGCGATATAAGGCGATTCTTAAATATTTTCTTAGGACTGTTAATGATATCTTGAGATAAACTGGCTCTTTTTCTTTATCTCTTATCATTTTCTACTCTATTCTATCCTACTCGTCAAATCTTAATTAGATGTTTCCTATTTATTATTTCATAAACAAAAATTATTTTTTATTATAACGCTTGAAATTTAAAATCGCTATCGTATGACTGGGATTTACTACTCTTTATTCCTCTATTAATTTTTACGGTCATAAGTTCAATTGAGTATTCAATTCAATTAAATGTTATTCAATAATATAAGTGCTAATATGCGTGGAATATCAAGTTTACATTTGAACTGTACCAGTCGCACAACACATCCTCTAATACTCTGGTTTTATAACGTCATTGTCTTTTCCAAGACACGATGAGGCACCAAGGTCGGATTGCGCGGTTGGTTCATTAGACGCAATATAGTTCCTAATTTTGTCAAACTCATCGATATTGATCATTACGTGCCGATAATTTAATAGTAATGGAAAGTTAGAATCATTTAAATTTCGCTAGTAAGATTGATCTTATCATTTCGATTTTTCTACTTGAAAAAATTTTATACAATAAGTCATGTATACAAAAATTTTTAGTAAAATTAAATTTTAATTTTAGTTTATGATTTATATTTAAATGCATTATTTATAAATAATTATTCATTTTGATATCTTGATTAATCTGAGAATAAATATCACTTCTTGAAAAAAATATAAGTGGTCAGCACTTATCATTTCTGGTTGAGTTCAGCAGTTATCAATGAGATCATTATCAATGAGATAAAAGACTTATTAATGGCGAATTACCTGAGGACAGAGGTGCAAATGACTCTATAGCAACACCCATCACTTGGCAGTATAACGATGCTTGAAATAATCTTAGCAATGAATATTTGGCCAAACCTTTCATGTTGTAAAAAAGAATAATAGAGCACCAAAAATATTAATGATCTTAAATGCTTTCTATTACCTTTGCTTTTTTCGTTTTTAGAAATAATTTCATTCTATTTTGATATGATTTTAATATGCCAATTGAGTCGACAGATGATTGTTATCAAACTGGTTATTCGTGGTTGCGAAAATGCCTCGAGGCATTGCTGCTTTTGAATAACACCGCAATGTCGCATGTGTGCCAACTGGGTTGCCCGCCTAAAACGTCCATTGACCTCTCTTGCAGACACATCTTCATTCGCGTCTGAAAATTGGGCTTCCAAACCGGTTCTTATGACAAGGTCATCCCTATCTTTTCCTTATTTTATGTTCAATTATAGCGAAAGCTTATAATTCGGATTTCAATAAAAAAAAAAATGACAGGAATTTTAGAAATAATAACAAAATTATAATAAATCATTAATTTTGCAGTTTTTTTGAAAATTGAATGATACAAAATTTCCATTAAAAATATATTTTCGATATTTTTTGAGAAAAAAATACTCCTGGGAAAAGAAAAAGAATTTTATCTAAATTTTTTTAGCGATTGCAAATTGCTACAATAAATTTAAAGTTTTCAAGTAATAAAACAAAAAAATTGCTATCAACAAAGGGTTAAAAAGTCAAAAGGTCAAAGGTCCAAAAATCCCCAAGAAAAAATGTTTAATTTTAAAGATTCTCAAATAAAAGTATTAATAAACTTTAGTTCATTAATTTTATAAGTTAAAAAATTGTGAAAATAATTAATGATTGGTCACCTTCTATTATAAATTTGGTTGAGCGACTTAAAAATTAAAAATCCACCACCTATATTATACTTTAGATTCATAATTAAGAATTCTTTTGCGCAAGATTTTTCCAAGATTTATGAGGAAGAAAAAAACGATGAGTTTAAGCCTAGATAGGCCTAAAATGAAAAGATTCGTCCTAACTGCAACCGTACAGAACAAGTTTTTTTTTCAAATTCCGATAAATTTATTTAATAATTTTTAAGTAATTTTTCGCTGAAAAATGATCAATTCGAAATAGATTTTGATTTCCCAGTATTTTTCCTCTTTTTAATTTCGAATGAAATTTATCTAAATATGAATTAGAGAATGGAAATGTTCAGTAGATTGTTGTTCTCATTTCCGGGCGCTGATTTTGGGATTCTAGCCACGTTAGAAGTTAACCTGTCTCTTGAAAACCAAAGTAATATTGCTGGCGATTCATTTCTATTCGTCAAGTGGGCTTTTTAGCAAAATTCTTCTGCTCCCGATAAAGCAGCAATAATCGAACATGCAATTTATGAATATTTCATTCCATTTTTTCTTTATTCAACAGTAGATTTGCTAAAGTTCAACAGCTTAATTTGTTTCGTAGAAATTGATTCTCGAAAGAAAAAAACTTCATTTGAATTTTAGGAAAAATTAGAAAGAAATTTTCTAAATTCTAAAATTTAAGGCGATGCACAAACGACATCCGTTTCACCAACGTCAACCCACAGTCCAGACCATCCCAATAGTGTTGCAAATCGAAGGAGTTTCAGTAATCCTCAAAAGTAAAAAAAATCTTTGTTGATTTTCTCTTATTCTCAAATATTTTCTATAATTTCTTCTATGAAATGATAAAATCGCATGAAATTACCTTTGTCCTTGATTTGTTTCTTTTTTCTTACACCATAAATATTTTGATTTTTTCGATTTTCTTATCCTCAAAGAATTTAGAAATTTATATTTCCATATTAAAAATTGCTTTCAGCAATGAAAGAGTTTTGAAATGTACGCTTTGTCACGAACGCCTAGAAGACACTCATTTCGTACAATGCCCATCAGTAAACGCTCACAAATTCTGTTTTCCATGCTCACGGGAAAGTATAAAGAAGCAAGGAACTTCTCCGGTCCGTTATTACAATTTTCAGTTTTCTACAATTAAATGTTCATGAGAACGATAGCCATGCATAATGGAGATGAAACTTTGCCCATGATAAACAAGAGAATTATCATTGTTATTATGGTGTGAAGCTCGACACAGGGTGGGTTTCACTGCATCTCATAAATTATCAGCACTTTGCTATCTTTGTGTTGTTCGCCACTTATAAATAAATGTTTGGATAAATGCGAGTTTCACTACTATTCGCTATTCGTCCAAAATTTCATATTATAATGGTGAAATCAACTTCTTTCAGGAAGTGTATTGTCCTTCAGGAGAAAAATGCCCTCTTGTTGGAACTCAGACTCCATGGGCCTTCATGCAAGGGGAGATCGCTACAATTTTAGGCGATGACTTTGAACAATTTAAGAAGGATCGTGAAGCGAATAGCATCATGACCTCAAACCTTACTCAAAATGCTAATGGACAGGTTTTTTTTTTTTAAAGAATCCTCACCATTACTAGTTAAACTTGCTCCACTGACTTGTCGCATTAGGCAATATGCCAGGGAGTCTCTTGGCGGTAGAAATACAGGTGAGTCGCCATCATCACCCAGATTTTTATTTTTATCACCCAGGTTTACTCCTGCGGGGAATCGAACCTCAGCATCGGCGCTCTCAACGGAGCAACAACCCATTAAGCCACTGGACAGGTGGAAATCGTCGGATATATTTATTGAGAAACCTTCATCATTTCTTAACGACACCTTCATGAATCCTCTATAAGAACTAAAATCTTATTTTTACCTATTTAATTATTCAGCTATTAATGACTAATGTATCAAAGTAGGTTACGAGAGTTACGAGAGTTTTTCAGGCTGGACCAACCAGTGGAGCACAACAAAATTCACCAGCATCCACAACAGGTATGGCATCGGCAAATGGACCATCTGTCCAACAAATATCCTCCAACCAGCATTTGACCACTAATAATTAAGAATGTTCTGATTGTTTTTAAAATGACTAAAGCCTGATAAGCTTTGGAACATTGTTTGTAGTTTTTGGTGAACGTGTCCGGTACATATAGCTATTGAAAAAAAAGCGAAAATTCGGGCTCTAAAGACTTCCTAAATTTACGGCTAATTTTCAAATAATCTTTTTTGCATGCTATAATCAAAAAAAAAACAAACAAACAAATGCTTTTTCAGCCTAGAACAAGCGAAAACAGTACAAAAAAGAATGCCAAAAGTCAAGCGATAAAACAGATAGATAAATTAATAACAATTAAACAATTAACGAATGCTTTTCATCTTCAATTTTATATTCAAGAAATTCTACTTTAGGCATATCTTGGCCATCCCCATTTATAAAAAAATTTGCTACTATTTGCTAAAATATAAAAAAATTTTGCAATTATCTGCAATTTAAATGATTTTACGAAATTTAAAAAAAAAAATTCTACAAATCAAAATAAAATTTTGTATATCACTAATAAAATACTTTAACGGTATGCTCACCTTTCACCGTTTCTATTTCATAAGGTACAATTTGAGAAAATGATTCATGAACATGAAGAAATTTTTGAACAAGTTTTTGCGGATTATTTTATAATTACTCTCGTCGTTATTAGCCAAAATTTTAATAAAAAAAATTACCCAAAAAATGTTCATAGGGAAATTAAAGTAGAAATTTTTATTTCAATTTTTCCTCAAATTAATGTAATTTAAAATTTCTATTGTATTTACCTCTAAATTATTAACAAAAAAGATTATATTAGAAAAATAGCACATAAAATTTGATGGATAAATTTTGCCAAAAAAAAGAAAAAAAACTAATGAAAAAATTTTATATTAAATAGCCTTAGATTAGATGAAAAAGTTTTTAATTCATTTGAATATATTTTACCTTGAGGGTTATCAGTTTTAACGACGAAAACTTGTTCTTTTAAATGGAATAACAAAAATTTTAACTGATCTCGGATCAAAGTGCATGTTCTTTTTATTTTTTCTTGATTTTTTTGATTTAGGGCAATTTCGATTGTTTCCCTATATTCATCCACTTTTTTCATTATTCGCAGTTTTCAATCTCTTTTGTTCATCTAAATGTTTTATATTTAAAAAACAAAAAACAAAAAAAAAATGAAGTACGTTCCGGGTAAAATTAATCTATATTTTATATTTACCGATTTTAAAATGGTAAAGTCTGCTATAAGTTTTTGGTCACGTCATTGTTATTGTATGGAACTTTTACGGCGACCCGCTTTTTTTTATTTTTTGCGACCACCTTTTATCAAACTGGAACGCTAATTTTAGTGATTTATTGCGCCGTTGTAACAATCGTTGTCATTTTGTTATCTAATAATTGCAAATAAACATTCCTTTTTTTTTGCAGTTTTTCGTCAAGTCGTCTGATAATACAGGGCCAAAGTATCATTTTCATTATTAATCGAAACGAAACATCTGCAAGAACTATTAAAATAGAATCAAAGAAAATCAGAAAAGTAGTCCAATGATCATTTTTATGCGACGGCAATTTAAGAAGAAATTTCTGTCAAAAAAATTGTTAAAATATCAAACAAACAAGCAACAGCAATATAAATAAAAAGAAAGCAAAAAATTCACATTTCTGATGGCAAGTAATTCATTCATTCACGATTTTTGCTATCCAATATGATTGTAACGGGACCATCGTTCTCAATTTTCACATTCATATAGGCCCCAAATTCACCATCCTAAAAAGAAAAAAACTTACAAAAAGAAAAAAATAGAGCAAGAGAAAAGCTAAGTTTTCTCTTTTTTTGCCATTATGAAGGAAAAATCAGAGAGCGTTCCTTTTTGCCAAAAAATTTGTGAGTCTATCCGCTTAATTGACTGATGTGAAAATAAGACTGATATGATCTGATATTTAATTGATATTAAAGTAGATTTTCAAGCCTAAATTTCCCATCACAGCTTGATCAATTTTCGAAAAAGCAGACTTAAAGTAGAAAGACATCATTTTGAAGTCATTAAGCAAGCTAATTATATGAATAAACATTAGAAATTTGGTACAAAAAATAAGGAAATCTTTAGAAAAAATAGCTAAAGACAAGTGTTATTTCGAAAAATTCAAATTAAATTAATGATCCGTATGGATTTCAAAAAACTGCGAAATTGTAGCAAAATAATTTTTAAGAAAAATTTCTAAAAGAACCTTGACAAGGTTGGAGATATATGCTTTTCTCAATGACTCTACAAAACCACTGTACAATTTTAAAGAGTCAGTTGGATTCATCGATTTATGAAAGTCAAGCTTATTTCCTTTGATAGAGGAGAACAAAGTAAACTGAAACTATTTTCAGTTATAAATATAATAGCATTATGCTACGGCTAAAAAACAAGCAAAACAAAAATAAAGCAGCAGTGCCTTATTCACTTCTTAAAGATGAATAAAATGAAAAATTTCCAAATTTTCTCTCTCATATTCCTTTATAAATCAATTATTTCGATTAAGCATTTGAAAATTATAATGAATTTAAGATTTACGTTCAAGTCAAGTTTTTTTTAAAGTTAAAGGACATAATTTATACAAAAACAGCATGAAAAAACGTAACGAAAAACAATTCCAACCTGACTTATGCAAAGAATTTCAAGTTCTAAATCTTTTAAACTTTTATCCCATCGTCTACCAGTTTCCATGTTATTGAATAGGCGCAAATTAAGAAGCTTACGTACAATATATTCAATATCTTCAACGTCATCCTCGCGACATATGGCTACGAATGCACAAATTCCTTTCCTAATCGACGATATCTAAAAATCACAAATAAACGTTTACCAATCAGCAAAATAAAAGTCATATATGAAAGAATGGGATTAATTTCTGATTATACAACTAAAGGAAATCATTCGCTTTTACAACTCTGAATTTAGATAACTTTTATAATTTAGATAACTTATATAACTAAAAGAGTTGAAAGGAAAAAACTGCAAAATTGGAAATTTGCTGCAAAATGGAAATCTCCAGTATTAGCACGAAGAGTTCTATTATCTATGAAATTTCCAAATCAAGAATCTTCATAAAACTGCAAAATCGATGGTCTTTCCAGCTCTATTAGTACTATTAAGGTAACATTTATAGATAAAGGACACGCAATCAGATTGGCACAGAGGCAATAATAGCAGAGATAATTTAAAATTTAATTAAAATAAAAAATGGTAAAATGCCATTTTATGGTAAAATGTCATATTAATAGACGGTAGTATGTAATCCAAGAAGAAATACAAAAACAAACAAAGTTTATTCCGAAACAAACGCTAAAATGAATTGTATTGTATTGACTGTATTGAAATTAACGTCAGGCTGAATTCAAACACCACAATCTAATGGTTCGATGTTAATTAAGTTATCTACTACGTTGAGAAATCATAACCTCAAGTTCTAAATCTTTTAAATCTTTATAATACAATTCATTTTAACGTTTATTTCAGTTATAACCTCATTACTATTAATTAAAATGAATAGGTTAACTTGCACGTTATCACTATGGTGTATACATCATTACTACAAAATTTTGAAATAAAAACAATCTGATAGTGTGCTACAATTATTGCACCACACTATACAGTTATATGATAGGTTAAAATAAAAGTTTTCGTGAAACTGATATGAAAGAATCAGGTGTTTTGGTGCTTATTTTGGTGCTTACATTCTAATCTATACCTAGCATTAATTCTCCTCATTTTATTCTAGTTATTTTATGGAATTATACTGATTTTTGCTTAATTTAAATAAGCATAAGAATATAACTTTGGATACAGGATGTTACTATGGATGGCAAGCAGCAAATCTGCTTGCCATCTGTATCTGCTATTAAAGGCTACTGAAGTTCGAACGACTTGGACCATTACCTTCATAACCTTCGCATTTTCCGTAAAAAGTTCACAATATACGGACTGAGCATTTCGTGCTTTTATCAAACAAATGCAAACAAATTATAATGGTAATATCGTCTACCACTTGTCTGCATATCCTTCCTTCTTTCCAAATTTCATACAAAAGTCTAGTTTTCCTCAAATGTACGAGATTTTTTTTTCTGAAAGCACTTACCACTGGAGATCAAAGCCTTGGTAGGAAGTCACTTAGCGATGAAAGTAAGGTAGGGGGCATTACTAGGAATTTTGAGGGAAAGAGAGAAGAGAGAAAAGAAAGTATAACTCCAACACCAGCGCAAGCGAAATGAATTTCCTTGGTGAAAAAATGATGTAAAAAATATGGAATATTTCTAACATATAGCACAAAAGACACTTAATAAATAAAGATAAAATGATTTTACCAAATTACCATCGACAATAACCTCAGCTGCTTTAACACGCTGAATAATCGCACGCATAATTACCAAAATGATACTAAAATGAATAATGAATCAACCACATAAGAACCAATCATAACGTTAAATAAAAAAACCTGAAATTGCGAAAATTACTAAACGCCACAACCTGAATAAAAATTATATGAGATCGTGAAAAAAAATGCGATATATCTGTCGATAAAAATAATTGCCTTAATGTAAATGAGGCTCAACCGCATTTCTATCGCCAAGGTACTTCCTGGCCTATTCGTCTAGCGCAACAAGCTGGTGGAACGAATCAAACTAGCAATGGCGAATGCTCTTAAAAAAAAAATGTAAGTGCCACACGGACTAAAATGATGATATCAAAATTAATTATTTTTTTCGAAGAACTCTCACCACTTCTGGTTAGACTCGTTCTGCTGGCTGGCCGAACTGGAAGAATTTTACAAGGGAGTTTACATGACGATAGAAGTACAGGTGAGTCATTTAGCATCAATCGGAATACTTAATGTATTAATCGTTATAATGGCAGTAATACAAATTACGAAATTTGCAAACGTTACTTACTTCTTTAAGTGGATAAAAATGATTCAGAATTACTGGAAGAATCCCGTAACAAAAATTTGTTGAAACTATAAACCGCGAAATAAAGGATGGCGAGGATGGCGTGAGGGCAGTTTAGCCGACTGCTCAGACTATCCATTCAACAATAATCATGATTCATAATTTTCCCCTTAATACAAGTAAAGCTAATAAAATTAAATCCAAATGGTGCTGGGAACCCGACTTTCCTGTATTTTTGTCACCAACCGACTCATCAATGTCAGCAATTTGCAAAAAAATGACTTAAAAAATCGACGATTTAAAAGATTTCGTAGTTGCAGTAGCAAATTTGTAAAACTTGGCCACTGACAAAGCTATACTAATTTGCAGCCCGGCTGCGTAAGCATCCTGTTGAAGTTTATTTTACTGGATCACTTGTTCAATAATACTTGGTAGGTTTCGTGCGTCGATGAAATTGATTTAATTTGTCAAGTTTTTAATAGATTTGGTACTCAACTGTTTTCTTTTGAACCCTTTTAAATCAGATTATTTTTTTGCCTCTTATGCTTCTAATAACATTCCTGGTCAACATTCCTGGTTTGGCTGATTCCACCTCTTCTAATAGCTCTTACCAACTGGTTAGATTAACCGTATTGGCTACAACATTTCCGGTTTGGCTTGCTCCATTACCTGCCACATATCTGGTTTGGCTGGCTCTACTGGCTGTTTAGTGCTCTTTCGCAGTATTCTATGCTTAATTTTTCTTTTTCTTCTAACCGATATTTCGTATGTTTCCTAAGTTTATTGGAAGACAATGTCGTATAACATTATGCATTCATAATTTACTATCTATAAATTAGAAATGAGTGGAACCTTTGCAAGTCTTAAATTGGTAAATCTTCGTTAAATATTTTGGCTAAGTATTTCACTATAGGCTAATTTAAAGACAAACTTTTCTAGCTTTCGCCTAATATTAGTCACCTTATCAATGCGCCACTTAACTTTTGGTTCCTCTAGCTGTTTAGTTTTTTTTTTAAATTTCATCCTGGTGCAGTGCAATGCTGACGACACCTCTGACCAGTGATTATTGGTCACAACAAGAGGCTCGTTTCTAAAAACCAGCAAAAAATCCATTATAGAATACTCAAAAACGAATTGATTTCGGAAGAAACAAGCGAAATATGAATCGAAATCAACTCCTATAGTGGACGATGAAGAATGCGTCCTCTTTGTGATGCAGCTATATGGACGTTTTTCGTCTTTTTGGTGATTTTACGATGGCCCCTTAAAGATTTCGTCAGCCGGAAGAACGCATGCCGTAATTCGAATTGTCGTCTTCATCGTCTTTTGCCATTCGGTATTAGAGTAGATCCAAAGTATTTCAAATCAGGCAATTCCTTAACCGGCAATGAGTTTGTAAAAAAAAGATATTTTATCAGCTTCTCATATTAAGACGAAAAAAATTTTATTTACATTGAGTCCAATTTTATTGCAGTTGTCGAAACATTAATCGTTATTTGATTTGATTCGTTATTTGATAACTGTTGTAGCTGTCAGCAAAAAGAATATCATCAGTCTATTAAGATCGGTGATGCTATGCTCCGGACTGATTTATGCACCTCTTGAGTGCCGACAAGCAATGTCCATTATCCATTCTATCGCACAGCTGAATATTGAATTTATACTGCATATAATAGGGGAAAGGACGTGTCTTGACACCGGTTTTTACTTCGAAGGATTCTATCAGTTCCTCATATACACAGATCTGCGCTAATAAAATGCCTTTATAAGTCAAATGATCTTCTCTAGAAGACCGTCGCTCACTTCCTTCACTCTCCAAGAAACACTTTTTCAACTGAGTTGAACAGAGCGGCTAAATTGATGAAACAAGCGACGATTCTTCTTCTTCTAACCATTACTGGTTAGAATGGCTCCAACGGCAACAAGGGTAAGGCGATTCCAAGTGGCGCGGTCTAAGTGGTGCCATCGTCGATATTTTGCCGATATTTGAAACAATTTTCCAGTACCCTTCTTAACGTGAATATTTGCTTCCCACAACTGGATCACCACAACTCGGTATGGATCCAGCGTGGTTAGGTCGCATCCTGCTGTCGCGCCATTAGTCCATTCAATAGAAAAGAAGCGAAAATATTGCCTGAGATATCTAGTAGGATGATTTCGTGGTGACTGTCATATCTTTTTTCCAGAGAGTGTATTTGTTGAAGGTGCATTATGGACAACATTTGAAGACTTCGGCTTATTCTCAGATCATCTTCAGGAGTTTTATTGGGTTTAAGCTTCTGGATAATAGAGATTATTACCTGTTTTGCTGGCGGTTCATAGTAACGAACATATGACTCGACGAGCGATTCAGCTATGTCCAGGACAACAGATAATGCATCGTGGTTAAGTTTGGTTCAAAAAAATTCCTTCTACCTTACAAGGCGAACCACAGTAGCCTTAACATGTACACCATTATTCTGTATTATTTCACTGATCGTTTCTCGAGTTATATGCTTTATGCAGAAGAAAGAATAGTTTTCTATTAACGTCTAATCGAATTATCTCTCAAGACTATATCTCTCCTATAACAGTTTCTGTTTCGTCTTTCTTCTATCGTTGTATTTCTTTCAGTATCAGAGTATATAATCACTGAAGTAGAAAAAAAACCAGATATCACTTCGCCAGGCGGCGAAAACAAGCACTTTTGAGATCAGTCTGCTTTCCACTTTTACTTTGGCACTCTTCAAGGAACTTTTAGCAATAACTTCTCATTAGCTTTTTCTTACTCTTTTGGCTCCTACCACAACTTTCTTATTTTTCTTCAAGACCCTTCATTGATCTTTAACACCTAACGATTAGCATTTTTTGCTTTCTACTTTTAGCGACAGTTATGCCTAACGAAGGCGAAGTACGGTGGTCTTATTCTAACGCAAGCCGTATTTTCTGATAGCAGCAGTCACTGCAGTAAGCCACCGAGAGGGAGAATTTTTGGATATTTTGGGTTTTAGGTTTTTGTCTTTAAATAATCTACTTTGACTCCGTTTATTTTTTGTGCGCCTTTGTTGTACATCGTTAAAAATTCGAGAGTTTTGTAGTTCGTTTGCACGTTATATTCGCATGCAGCTAGGAATCAGGAGGAAAAGAAACTCTACTATGAAAATAAATTCGCATGGAATGTGTTTGAGTTTACGGAAATTTTCAGTTTCTTATAGTAGCAAAAGTCCTCCATAATTTATTATGCTGTGTTGTTGAATTTTCAGAGCTGATTTTCGCAGATCTTTAACTGTCATATTGATGGCATAGTTATTTTTGCTGGCAGCAATAATTATAGAGAAAATTTCGAATTAAAGGGCGAAACTATTTTCATATTATATATAGGACATTAATAAAATACCTATTTTTAAAAATTCATTGCAAAAAATCAGATTTTTTTACAAAATTCGATTAAGTAAGTACTGAATTCAAGATATGTCTTGGTTTTATCAAATTATTAAAACCAAAAAAGGAATTTCACTTTGCACGTCCGCAATTAGAAATGTTTTCTTTCCCCTGGTGAAATCTTTGTGAAATCACCCGAAGTAATATCAAAAATAAGATCGGAAATTCGTTTTAACTTTTTTTTATTACGTTTACTTAATGTATATTTTGCTTACTCGCCTATCTGGTATTAGATACATGATTCAACCTCGTTTGATTACCAACAAATTGCTAGAAGAGAGAGCCTTACCTGCATTAGTTAAAAAACAGCGCAGTTAAAAGTTTGGTATGATCAATAAGGGTAAGAGAGATTTTTGAACGTACAGGCGCCTAGTAATATGTGGGCTTACCTGAGGAAATAGAAGTGGCACCTATCTCTTTCAAATATAGCGTTGGATCAAGAGGTTTAAAAACACATCATCTTTGCAGCCAGTGGAGCCTGATTAGCCTAATATATGTATGCTAACAGAAGAAGATAATCATTCACACAATTTCCATTTAATATTTTGATTGAATAACAGAAATCTGCCTGGTAGTTAGTTTGAAACTTTTCATGGTGTTTGTTAATTGTTTTTGCCTGTGTCACCAAAAGAGAACATTATTTTTAATGTTTTTTACAAATTTGTGTTTTCAAGGAAGTTTTTCCAGAAAAAAATGAGTGATAATCATCCTCAATTGCGAAACGACAATCATTTTCAAAGTACGAGTGGTTTATCACCACCTGCCATTAATTCTATTGGTATTTGTAAAATGCAGACTGCTGGTTTGTTTTTTTTTTTTTTAAATTTACTTCTAAATTTATGTTATTTTTCGGTCGATTTTGACAAATTTTTCGAGTTTGCACTGTATTCATTAAGTAGAAATTGTGCAATAGTTTTGTTGAGCAATTTCTGAGAAATTTTAAGCTCGACAAGAATCAATTTTTTTTAAAAATTCTTTTCAAATATTGTCATAAAACTATCAAATATTGTAGAGTGTTTCATCCTTTCGAACAAAGATATAATTGCTTTAATTCGGTCGTTGCAGGGATGAGCGGTGAAATTCAACATGTGATGTATTTGGCAGAAAATATCGGGAGTCTATATTTATCAGCGGTTTGTAGCGACGTGATTCTTAAGGTTCTTGTTCTTATATTCTTCTTTTTCCCTTTCTTCGAATAGCATCATTTTTGGTTTTTAGCTTCATTGGGTACGTGTGGCTAGATACTTTTATATACTTTAAATTTCTTTCTCTTCAATTATTTTGTTTTGTTGGTGACAGTCGAAAGAAGATTATCATATTTTAAAATTTTTGTTTTGAAATACCAATTATTAACATTTATTTGTTTTAGGTTGAAGGTTATGCGCTTCCTGCTCATAGGCTCATTCTGGCTGCTCGTAGTGATTATTTCAGGTTTGTCTAATCGAAGTTTTGTTAGATTGTTAGATTGTTTTTACAAAATTTATTTGAAAACTTTTAATATTATGACTGATTGAAGATTTTTATTGTTAAAGTTTTATATAATTTTAAATGAATTATATAAAAGTTTTAAAATAAATTATATAATTTTTTTACGAAAAATTTTTCGTCTCTAATCGATAAAATCATCACATTTTTTAAGCATTTATTTTAGAGCATTGTTATTTAATGGGATGCGAGAGACAAGGGACACTGAGATCGAGTTGGTGGACACTTCTGTTGATGGCTTTAAAATGCTATTGAAGTTGGTGGTCTAGAATTGTTCATTTTTTGAATCGATTTATGCATCGCATTTTATATCTGCCTTATTCATTTGTTTTAGATACATATATACTGGAAAATTATCTCTTAGCAGCCTGAAAGAAGAAGTTGTTCTTGATGTGCTCGGTCTGGCGCATAGATATGGATTTACTGAACTGGAACTCAGTATCTCAGAATATCTTAAGGTAATCGCCTTGAAAACAGTTTCGTTTTGAAACTTTTTTTTCTGATTAGCGTTATATTAGTATATAACATGCTCTTTATGCTTTTTTATTAGAATTTTTTTTTTTTTTTGAACCTGTTCTTTATTTGGTTATTTAGCATTGAATTTGCAATGTAGGGAAATTAAATAATATCGTAATTGCACTAATTTTCGAAGAGAACATATTAAACAAAGTTGGTGACAATCATCGCTTAAAAGAGTATTAATTCCAGACACTAAATCAAGTTGTCGTAGAATCCGAAATAAATTTAATCAGTATTATAATTTTGTTCAATTAATGGAAAGATGTTGCAAAATGCTTCATTCTCTAAACCATACCACCTGCCTCATTTTCCAAGAATCTTCCTTAGTAGATCAGTAAATCTATCAGTTTGCTTGATCATCGCGCTAATTTTTGTACAGTCATCAAAATTTCTAGATGAATCTCAATTTTTGCAAGATGTAATCAACTGGAATTTTATTATATTACAGTGTGTGCTAAGGTGAGGTCTGTGAAATAGTTGTTTTTAAAGTCATCATGAAGCGATAATCATCAAAGCACTGAGTCGTCTTTCTGAATGCTCACACCATTTCCGATTTTTCTTGACTACAGACTAGGGCGATTTTCTTAACCAACTTAATTAAACAGCATCATAAATGAAAATAGTAATAAAATTTCTTTCTTTTATTCGATTTATTCAGGCAGTTTTAAATATTCGAAATGTTTGTACGATTTATGGCGTAGCGCACTTGTACTCACTTCATTCTCTTTACGATGTGTGCCTCAATTACGCTGATAAGCATGCCGTGGAAGTACTCTCAACTCAGGTGTCTGGTTTTTATCATTTTAAAAGTGAATAATCTCATGGAAATTTTTCACCAAAGATTTCTTTAATTTCTTTCCAAAGATGAAATGAGTATTGATGGTGATCAAATTGCGATTTAATGAGATCAGTGTATCGAAATTTCGTATGACATAAATGCGGTTCTTTATATTTTAATTTATCATTTGAGCAATGACTATTATTGTCGGAAAAAAACATTAAAAACATTAATTAATCTAAGAAATAATCAGAAACTTCTCTTTCAGGGCTTTCTTCATTTATCTGCCTTAGCGGTTGAACAAATGATTCGACGCGATTCATTATGTGCTCCTGAAATTGAAATCTTTAAAGCAGTTAGAGAATGGGTGCGCTTACACGCCAGTCAGGTTTGTTTGGTTGTTTTACTTCTCTTTGAAAAAAGAATTATCATTGTATTTGATTTAAAATTGTTTTTTGGTTTTAAAGGTAGAAGATATCGAGTTGATTGTATCAAAATTGCGTTTGCCTTTGATGAAATTGAATGATCTTCTGAACGTTGTTCGACCATCGGGTCTTCTTTCTGCAGATGCAATTTTGGATGCTATAAGAGACCAGCAAGAAAAAAAAAGTGGTGAACTTACATATCGAGGATTTTTGCGTTAGATTTTTCACTCTTTGCTTTATCTTGGAAAGTATGGTTTCTCTTTATTTAAAATATCTGTCTCGCTTTCTCTCTTAACATTATTCTTTCTCTTTTGCGGATAGAATCAGAGAGATTTTAAAGGATAGAAAACCTTGTTTAAGAAGGATTGGAGAAAATTTTAAAAAATTTTATGATTTTGGATGGAATAGGTATTTGTTGAAACTGACGCAGTTTGTATAAATTAATAGCAAAATAGTTAGATGCGGAATGATGTCACCCTTCTTAGCGATGGTTACATGTAAAAAGTTTACAAGTTTAAAAGTCTGAAATCTGAGCATTTTATTTCTTTTTTCTCCAACTTTGGTTAAAGGAAATTGAGGAATTCAGATAACAAATTTTTTTAAATCAGGGAATGCCATAAATGTTACATTGTCTGAGCGATAAGGCGCTGATTTTTCCATTCGAAGAAGAACAGGCTTGAGTTTTGTGTGGCCTAACTTCTGCTGTAGATGCTATAGGAACTTTAGACGAAGTTTTATCACATGCTTTGAAAACTAAATATTTTGCGCCTTCATTAAATCGTTTTCATTTCTGTTGAGGAATTTTTATTTCAGTTCACGATATAAATGTCCTTACCACTGATTTTAATACAAAGGTTTTAACTGGAGAAGGAGCAAATAATTTGTTGAATGGTGAATTAAATAGGTATGATACAGATCGTGGATTCACTTCGCATATTATTAGCGAAAAAAGCAGTGGAATTATTATTGAGGTATAACATATGTCATTTTTATAAATTTTCTTCGCTCACCATTCACCATCTTTGTTGTTGCAAGCAGTCCAGGAGCTTTCATTCCTTGCTTGCACAAAATGAAAAAAAAAACTATTCTCATTTATCGCATATTTTAGCTTGGACGTCCTTTCATCATCAACCATATTTCTCTTCTTCTTTGGGATCGTGATCAACGTTCATATAGTTATTACATTGAAGTAATTAACAATTTTTATTTTAATTTTTATTTAATTTTCATCGTTGGCTTATATTTGTGGAATGCATTGAATTTTTAGGTTAGTATGGATTCTGAAGATTGGATAAGAGTTATTGATTATCGAAAATATCTTTGTCGTTCACATCAAAACCTTTTTTTTCCTGCACGAGTAGTGAAGTATGTTTTTTTCTTTATTTTCGAATTTAATAAATTCCCTTACTTATTTTTTATCTTTAGATTTATTCGTGTTGTTGGCACCTATAATTCGGTTAATAATGCTTTTTATCTGGTAAACATTGAGGCAACTTACAATACTCGACCTCCCGATTTCGATCCTGCGACGTCAGTAATTAGTAAGCATTATGAAAATTGCTCTTTTAGGGTTTTTTAACGAAATTATTAAACGAAAATATTTTCAGGTTAATATTAGGCATTTTTACTTTCCTTTATTGTTTCATCGGGGCCCCATTTTTAAGTTTTTGATCCATGCTATTTCAAAGGTTCTTAGAGGTTCTTCAGAAATTTGATTTAACCAATATTTAGAAGAAAAAGAAGCAAAATTCATTTAGAGATTTAAAATTTAGAACTTATATTGCAGTTCCATTGACAAATGTTGCATCTATCGTAAATAATGCAGTAGTAATAGAAGGTGTATCAAGAAGCCGCAATGCTCTGATAAATGGTGATACAAGCAATTATGATTGGGATAATGGATACACATGCCATCAGCTTGGTTCTGGTGCAATTGTCGTGCAATTACCTCAGCCGTACCTTATTAACTCGATGCGGTATTTTCATAGAACTTTAGTCGTTTCATAATATTTTGAACCAAATTATTTTGCTCATTAGTTCCATAATTTTTCTTCATTTTTCTTTTAAATGATGAGTTACATCAATTGCATTTCATTTGCTTAAAAAATCTTCAATCTTCATTTCCTTTTTTTTTCACTTTTTTCAGATTGTTACTTTGGGATTGTGATGATCGTTATTATTCGTATTATGTAGAAGTATCTTCTAATCAAGCATCTTGGACTCGTGTAGCTGATCATACTCAAGACCAGTGCAAGTATGTGATACTCTTATATTTGTTTATTTGTTTTGCGTTGGTTAGCACATAGTCTTGACCAAAGTATTTACGTCTCGAATTTTTTTCACATTTTTTAATTTTTTAATGCGAAATAGATGTAAATTTCTGATGAAAATAGATAAAAAAATTTTTGATGAAAATTGCTCAGAGATGTATTGGCTGCCATTCGTCCCATTATGATCTACAGTTTAAGAGTACATGTCGTTGTAGTTTAGTACATTTTATTAATACTTTTTTCTACTCAAATTGCTAATAATGTACAAATTATTTTCATAACGACTGAAGGATTTGTTTAGAGCATGGCAACTTTTGCGTTTTGATTATATTCCGGTTGTATACATTCGCATTGTCGGGACAAATAACTCAGGTAAATTGTTTCTCATTGTACTGCTTGAGATTTTTCTAACATTCATTACAACTTAGGTTGATTTCATTGAAACATTTTCAAGCCGCTCGATCTGGAACACATGGCTTTTTTGCCCGGTAATTAAGCTTTTTTGCCCAGTAATTAATCTTCTTTTTGACCTAGTCTATCACAAGGCTTGTTATTTAGCGAGTATTCACTATTTCTTACTATTTTGCTACAAAAAACTTGGCTAATAAAAAATGCAGTTTAGGTGAGAGTGGTGGTCAAAGGTACCAAGCTGCAATTTCTTTTTGAATCTTCTTGAGAAATTGTTCCGGCAGAAAAACCTTTATCCTATTTTCCCTTATAATGAGAAAATTATTTTCTAAAATTATAAAATAATATATTTTAAAAGTTGAAGAAATTGTAATTGTACGAAGAAACAATGATAAAATTTCGACCTAAATTATAAAAACATGAGATTGTTTTTATAGAATTTTATTCAGGCAGTTGCCTAATCGTTTAGGCGTTCACAATTGGCCCACCAAGGAATAAAAGATGAAAAATTTAGTTTTATAATAGAAGATTTTCACCGTAATTTGCTTCAAAATAGAAGAAGCGCAAAATTGATTTTTGTAAGATTTGTATATTGGCAAATTTCAGTTCAGATTTTTTCCATTCAGGAGAAAATTGCTGTAGAAAATGGCAAAAACGTTTTCAAATATTTAAACCGAATTGAAATTTTGATTTTTCAGCTAATGAAGTGTTTCATTGCGTGCATTTCGAATGTCCTGCTCAAAGAGCAGCTTTAATGGCGCTTGACTCAATTTCTGAAAGGTCTGAATCTAATACTCCGGAAAACAATAATGAGGATTTTTAAGCCTATGACATATAGGTGATGGCGATCCGCTTATCCATATTTCGACATGGTGGACAATTATGTTATAATAATTAAAATTAATTAAATTAAATTAAACCGTATCGCCATATACATCGCCTTATATTTTTGTGTTTATTGTTTTATTGTGTGTACAATTTAGGAAATTTTTTTCCTAACATACATATTACGCTTTTTAACCAAATTTTTTTGAATTATTTGGTTGATATTTGATGCGATTTAATATTGAATCATTTAATAGAGCTTTTGGTTAATAAGCAAATAAATATTAGAAATTGATAAAAAAATAGAATTTTATTCATTTTTAGATTGGTTCAATTTCTTTTTTAAATGAGTCTTCAATCAAAATATAGCGATTTTGTTTTCATTAATTGCATCTTAGCATTTAGATTTGGCTTAGTTTTTTACTTAATCTGTATTTTTTATGCATTTCAAATGTCCATTCATTTATGCCTTTTCATAGTTTTTGTTCATTTGGTCATAATTTTACTTAAAATTTTATCATAGAACATCTGAAAATTCAAAAAATTACTTTCGAAAGAAATACGACGCAGTCAGTGAGATCTTAAATTCTTTTAGAAAAAAATAATATGCAACTATCATTAGATGAAATTTGGAGATTACGATGTCAGTTCAGTGTTTTTGAAACGATTATAATTTTTACTGTAGGTGGTAGGTCTCATTATTTCGTCCATTCTAACTATCTGATAAACTCTCAATAATAAAAAGTTTATTCTTCGCATTGGCATTGTTGGTACATTAGCAAGGCGTTGATTAGCAGAATTACTGTTGTTTAGATTATCATTCGTGATCACCTCATAAAATCTTATCATCAAGATTGCAAATTTTATGTACAAAAGTACTTAAGGATAAAAGATAAACGATAAAAGTGTGATAAGATGCAAAACATCTCGGCACTTTACTTTATTAGTGAAGATCTCATTTTGCTTTCCCCAAATATCTCAAATTTTTTATCTCGTGGCAAGAGTTGGCGCTCATTTACATAAAATTGATATTCTGATCAATGAATAATCTCGAAATTCTCGAAATCTATACGACACGAATAATTTTACTGATGGTTTATTGCAAAAATATCTGTGAATCCAATATTTGTGAAAACTGAAAAATGAAAAAACCCATAATTACAAGTTTTTGTTCAAGAAAGACGTCTCCGTAAATAAAGTTATGAAATGCGAACAAAGAAATCTATTTTATATAATTAAAGACATACCTTAGATTAGACATCTAATTAGTCGATAAAATTTCATTCGTTTCGAGAAACATTTTTAAAAGCGAATAGAAATATTCATATAATAAAGTGATTTGATAAGAAAGATATAAATTACAGTAAAAAAATACAAAAAGCGAAAAAAGGATCGCATTGCAACTTGCAAACTCAATGAACTCCATTCTAATCTTCAAATGATGAATATAAATTGATAATTGATAAAACTACATCGACTTATATTTATTTGTTCCTTTCAGTAACTATAATTTGCATTTATTCGTTGTTAAATATTATGAAATGATAAGAATAAGTGATAAAAAAAAAGCAAAAATTTGATTAAATCCAGTCGAGTACAAAACGAAAGGCATAGACATAACTTATAAACATTTGCTATTTCTGCAAACTTTTTGCCTGCGATTATAAAACCAAACACGAACAACCTAAAAAGAGAAAATTTTACAGTGGAATTTATTTATAAATTATAAATTTATGCCATATAATATTTATTTTTTGCCTAAAAAATTAAAAAAATAAAAATTTTAAAACTTTAAATTCAAAATTTTAAATTCAAAAAATTTCGTAATTATACAATTAAAAAAAAATTTATGGAATTCTTAATTTAAAAATTTTTCTAATTATACAACAAGAATTTCAAAAAACTGAAAAACTGAGTTTTCTAAATTAAATTAAGATTAAAGTAAAATTTCCGTTTCACCATCAGCCAAATTCTATTCTATAAAAGACTCACATCACGTTCCAATTCCAGTATTTCAGCTAGTTTGGCAATTTTATAATGGTCTGGTCGCGGATTGAGTTTGAAATATAATGCTAGTGGCACTCTTTGCGAAACATCAAGAATTGTTCGTTTTCTGCGTTTTCTTAATGATCTCCTTGATTCGCTCATCTCCGCCGTGCAATAAGCTTCATTGGTGCCAGAATTTGACGATCCAAAGATGTTAGGAAGAGGCTGAAATTATTCCAAAAGCAATATTTTAGCAGTTCATTTTCATCTTTAAAGTAAATTTCTATTTATATAAAAAATAAAATAAAAAAGAAATATAAATAGAAATATGAGAAATATACATAAAAAAGAACGGCCGATAATAACTGATAATTACCTGGTTCTGTGAATGGCTTGGGGCAGCTTCAAGCAAATCGCAAACTGTTGTACCATTCTCTATGGCTGCTTCTGCATATGCTAGCCATTCGCTTAACAGTGATTTTAATTTACCCATATTACTGAAGGATAAATTTAATGTTTCAAATCGTGAAATTGTTGAGTGCGAGAAGTCAACGCCAAATCGATGGCCTAAGCCTAAGCCAACATCACGCTGAGTCAAACCTGGAAATTAAAAATGCCCCACTATACTTTATATCAGAAATGTTTCATAAAAATCTTATAAAGAACTGAGAGATCCAAAATATAGGAAATAAAAATAAAATCTATTCGCCTCATAGAGGATTCATTAGTTTATTTAGAAGAAATTCACGAATAGAAAATTTAAAAAATTGGGAGGAAAATATGAAAAAAATTATGTATTTCTTCTGCATTCCAACGTCGGAATCTTTTTTGACTTACCAAGTCTTCTACGCTTTCGTTTAAATTCTTCGGCAAAGGCTTCCAATTCATCTAATTCGATACATTCCTCGCGCGTTATTTCACTAACTGCTTGACGAATTGCCTTAATAAAATAAATAAAAATACGTTAAAGCTAAATTATAAATAAATTTTAATAATAAATGTAAATAAATTTTCATGAGACATATTCGATTCAAATAAGTAATACTATCGATTTTTTAAAAATTTGAATTCATAAAATATATATCTATTGAAATTTCGAATTGCAGAGTGGCTCAGTGGGCTGTTGTCTTTATTTTGAGGCAACGGTGCTGAAATTTTGCTCCTAGCAAGAGCAAAGCCTGTTTTCCAAAAACCAGAAGAAAAAGTCAGCGGTGCTGGAAATTCATGTGTATTTCTAGCACCATGTGATTTCCTGGCAAAAACTTGTCTGCTCCGACAAGTCAACGAGTCCAATCAGAAATTATTAGCGCTTTTAGCAAACAGAAATTTAAATTGCTAGAATTATTTTAAAAAATAAATAAGAAATAAACTATATCAAATGAAAAATTTAAGTTCAAACTAAAAATGAGGTAAAAAAATGATTAGAATTCCAATTCCATTAAATCAAAAAGAAATGAAAAGTACTATTTTTTGAAAGAAAATAAAAATTAAAGAATTTTTAAAAATTAGAATAAGGAAATAAAAAATTGATTTAAGAACGTACTGCGCAACTTGTGTGGTCCATCTCAACGCTTTCGTTTTATTCACTGGCGTTTAAGCAATATTAAATGATATTCTTTGAGAATTTTATGATATACCGATTATGCTGGAAGTTTGAGATATCAGTGATAATGAAAGGAACAAAAATTCCGTCATTATTTCGGTCAAACAACATTTATAAATTCAAAAGATAAAAGAAAGAAAATTCTCTTTTAAACCATACTAAATTCATATAGGTAAATTCAACAGAAGAGCGAAAATGTCATACCAAATTAGCCTTTTTCAAAAAATTTTCAATTAATTGAAACAAATAAAGATGATCGTTCCATCAGAAAAAAGTATTGTCGAATATATATATATATATATATATATATATATAAGGATATGGGCTTATAAAACTCTGACTCTGAGGTGCTAACAACTCACCTACTTCTATTGCCAAGTGATTCCACTTGGAAAAGTTATTGGTTCAATAATTCAGCGAAGCGGGCTTAATTAGCAATGGTGAGTGTTTTGCAAAAAAATTTAATGTACATATATATCTAGGGTAATTTTGCATATAGGTATTGTAGATATCAAAATTGATTTCTTAGAGGGAGGGGATGAGGTGGTAGAGGAAGCAATACCTTTTATCCTTAAGTATCTGCCAGAAGAGAAGATAAACCTAGTAGTTAAAATGACTGGCCAAAGCAATCCACACAACTTATTCAGATTATAGGGTAAGCAGTTTTCCACAGCAATAAAATTATAAAAGGGAAAAATTTTTTATGGAAAAGGACTGATCGATTAAGGTGAAATTTAATAACCAACCGGTCAGAAGTTAAAAATCAAAAAAAATAAAATGAATCGACTGGGAACTAGGAATCCACTTAGAATTTCTTTCTTCGCAGTAATCGACTGTTTGTTAAATAAGCAATAAAAACTTTTTAAAAAGCCAATATATAGGATTGTTTACAATAGTTTGGACCAAAAAAATCCAAGTTTTCAAAATCCAAAATCCAAAAAATTCAGAAAACCAATTCCCATATTCATCTCTAATTTCATCTCAACTTTCTAATAATTTTCTTCATCATAGAATATCGTAATTTGACGCTGATTTCGTTAAGAATCGTAGGAAAAAAATTGGCGAGGACTAATCGACCTCGGTTGACATAGCCAATGAGACTTCGGATGCATAGGCGATCCAGCCATATAGGAGGCTAAGCAGTAGAAAAAGAGTAGCATCAGTTTACTAGGCATTTTCAGGTGTAGCACATCGGATCTGGAAGAATTCTACCGAAATCGCGAGTAGAAAAAGCGAAGTCAGCAATGGCTCGAACTTCTAGAAAAAAATGCTAAACAATATTTTTTCAATTTTTTCAATTATATTATTTAGGTTTTTGGTTTAGATAGAATAGTGCACTTTATATTTAAAATCAAATCCTAAAGGAAGCATAAGATTAAAATTGGAAGCCTACTTGAAAATCAAAATTTACATGACTAAGGTTCTTCACTGCTTCTATTAATTACTTAGAATACAGTAATGTTCTAAGTCAAGGATATATGGATAAGGACAAAGCTAACCAAAAATTATTCAATTAATTCAACTTATTTTATAAAAATTAATTTTTCTGACATTTTCAGCTTAATCGTATAAACATATTATTATTTTGGCTTGAAATTTATTGTAATAGTATTTCCTATGTGAATGGTTGTGCATTATCGGCTAAAATGATCACATTGCCGCTTTTTTGTCCTTACAGTTTTTAAAGCTTAGAGTTTTATCCTTAAAAGCGAAATTTTTAATTATCAATTTTGATTAGCCTCGAAATCATTTAATAACTGCAGATATTAATTCTGCAAACTGCCCTAATATACTTTTTTAATTATAAATATAGATTTTATTTATTTGTGAATTTTCTATGGATTAAAAATAATCATTTGAAATTGCGAACGATATTTAAAGACTGTTCATCAAGCAATTACCCACAAGAGTTCATAGGCTTAAGCAAAGTTCTCTAAGGAATTGCATCTTTTTTATAAAGAATACTTTATATATTTTTTATAAAAGAATATTTTAAGCATACAAAATCAATTTATATAGATATCTGCATCTTTAGCGATACGCAATAGGCCAAGTTTTGTGCTTAACTTTATTCACTTTTATTATAAAAAGTACGTTGCTTGCGATATAGAAAATCTTTATTTTTAGCGTAAGAATTTGCGAATAAGAATTTCGATATAGCTGTGGGACAACATTTTTTCGAAGATTAGCTGAATTTAATAATTGTTCAATTTCGTGGAAATAGTTTTTGACACGAAGGAACGAACTGGAACATGGAACACACACTTCCATCATTTAATAAATTAAAAATGAATTAAAGTAATTTTTAAAAAATTAATAGCGAAATAAAAATTCCCAAAAAAATGTTTCAATCGCTTTGTTACTTTCTTCTCTCCTAAGATTATTTATTTATTTGTAATTTTAAAAAAGCACCATAAAATAAATTTATAAGATAATTTTCTAATGTAAAGGCTTTTCATGCAAATTATAAATAGGAAAGCAACTTTTCATCAAACAAGAAAAACAAAACTGCAACATTTATCGACAATAAAATGTTGCATTTGATGAATAAAATCAGAATTTTGATTTTTTTTATTACTGAAATTTTAAATCGTATGATGAGCGCATTTTAAGCCTTTTCAATTTTCGGATGAAAGAACAACTTTGAGAAATAATAAATTATTTTGCAATCTATGGATTAAGAATAATCATTTGAAACTGCTAACGACATTTAAAGACAACTTTGGTCACCAAGCAACTGCTCGTAAGAGTTCATAGGTCTAAGCAAAGTTCTCTAAGGAATTACATCTTTTTTATAAAGAATATTTTATTAAATGCAAATTTCACTTTTAAATGTTTACTCCCATTTAAGGGAGGGAATTTCTGGGAAAGAGAAAAGGAAGGTACTGCTTGACAAAACCAATGATGGAAGGTTTAAATAGCGAAGAGGATCGCATTTTGCTGATGTAAAATCAATGCGAAAAAAATCATTACCAAATTGATAATTAAATTATTAATAAATAATTAAATTAAATGCAGCGAATGCGATATTTTGCTCGTAAAAACTCGTAAAATCGTACTGGTTAATTTGAAAGAGTAAGAAAGCATGCTGTCGATAATAACTGATCACCGATCTGCACTCGAGTATTTAAACAATACAGTAGTAAATCGGAGAAAGCCTTTGGAGCGAAATCAAAAGCGTGGGTAGTTACCATTTCACCATTTTATTTACCAACATCGATAGGCATTTATTAATCTTTTCCTTATTTTTCCTTAAATCATATATTACTTTACTGAACGCATTTTAAATGCGAAAAATTTTTAAAACGAGTGGATAAGCTCTGATTCCATCATTTATTTATTTATTTACGTTAGAAGTTTGAATATGCGTGAAAAGTCAAGCAAGATAAGCGAATGCAAAAGAGATAAGTATTGTCGATTATTTAAATAAATATATTTTAGCAAAGTTGCCCATATAAATTGCGAAAAGTATAATGCCTGAAGTTAGATGATCCTTTTGAAAATTACTGCCTTCACTATTTCGTGCTAAATCGTTGTGCACACCTAAGAAGACTACTTTAAGAAATGAGTGAAAAGATTGTGGTTAAGATTTTTTCGCTTTTTTTTCAGCATTTTTAGTTTGGCTGCTTTCGCTAACTGCTTTCTTAGAAATTTTCCACTCAGAAAGCGAAAGATAGAAGAATCGCATGGTGTTTGCAGTCACCAAATAGTTTTTCGAAATTTTTCTAGCAATCTAATTATCTTCGTTCCCTTGTATTTGTTTTTTTTCTAATAGTTTCAACGTTTCAATTAATATTTTCAAATTTTCTAACGTTTTCGAAATTTTAATTATATTTTTAAAACTTTTCTAACATCTTTTCGACGCTTTTTATAATATTTTTGAAATTTTCTAACATTCCAAACACCTTCTCTTGCATTTCTTATTTTTCTAATAGTTTTAATGTTTCAATTTTCTAAATTCTCTAATATTTGGATTTCCAATTCTTCAATTAACTGATAATCTAAGAAATAACCAGGTGATTAGTCATCTTTATTATCCCAAATGTCTTAGATTTCGTTATCGTTGATTAATTGGGAACCGATAATGTTGTTAATGATAATATGATAAAAGTGAAAAGGATTTTGAAAAAAAATCGAAAACAATTCGTTCTTTCTCGGTAATAAACTCGGAAATAAAAAAAATTACTCGACAAAACATTAAAGTTATACAAATTCTGCCTAATGAAACAAACTTATCGAAAATGTTAGAAAAATTTGAAAGATATAATTAACGATGTTGAAAAAGAATTAGACAGGCTGGCGTAAGTAGGAATCACAAGCTATGAGAGAACCACGCAAGCTCATGCATGAAAGATTAATGCATTGTGAAAGAATAAAATAGACTCGCGTAAGTCGGGTTGAGGAAAAAACTGCAACGAATTGGTTCATTGTTCACAGTGCCACCTTAGCGAGTTGTGGTTCTAATCGCGTATGAGCGATGTATTAATTTCCATCTATCTGACCCAGTAAAGCCAAAAATGCTGTAAAAAAGCGAAAATATCTTAACCAAATTGTTTTCTTTCATTTTAACACAACTGAATATTCAAAGCGAAAGCAGAAATTTTCGCAGGACTTATCCAACATCATCAACTGCAATATTAATTTACGTGGAAAATTTCGAGGAACATTAAATAATTGGCAGTTTTTTTCATATTCGCTTATCTTGTTGAAATTCTAAACGTAAATAAAAAAATGATGGAACCTGAGCTGATCGATTAGTTTGCAAAAATTCTTTGAGAGAACGAGATAAAATTTATAAAATGTAAAATTATGGAAAATTTGAAAATTAAAATATTGAAACTTGAAACTATTAAAAAAATAAGAAATGCAAAAGAATCCGTTTAGAGTGTTAGCAAAAATTTGAAAAATATTATAAAAAGCGTCGAAAAGATGTTAGAAAAGTTTTAAAAATATAATTAAAATTTCGAAAACGTTAGAAAATTTGAAAATATTAATTGAAACGTTGAAAATATTAAAAAAATAAGAAATACAAAAGAACATAGCTATATGTAATGTTCGAATAATTTAAAAACATGATTATAGACATAATTTAATAAACATTATAAAATAATTACTATATTTTTTTTGCTATCATATTTTATTATAATTTTTTTTATAATGTTTTTTCCATTCGACTCATTTCCGCAAAACACAATCGACATAAATGTGGCTGTTTAAATTATAATTTCTATATTAAGCAACACTCGACAACATACTTATTTTTTTATAATATCAATTCATTTGAAAATATTGCCAAAAAGCGTTTAAAAAAGTATATTCTACTGAATACTATTGATATAAAGTATACACGAAATACTACTAATATATAAATAACCTCTCCTAAATTCGACAAATAAAAATTCTAAAAATAACGTAAAAACAAAAACATTCATAGCGAGGCAGGAAAAGTTTTCCAAACTGTCTTCGCAAATCTCACGGGGCTTCTCGAGAACCACTGCGCTATTGAGCACCTTACTGTACTTCCTGTGCGTCATAATAATTTTTTTATTAGCGAATAATCTAACGAATGAAAAAAGAAATAAGGAAACCACTAATTACGATAAGCCTTATGAATGGTACCTAAGCAGCTGCAACGCGCACATTGGCTATTGCATAATCACAAATGGAACTATCATATTAAGTGCGAACGTGAGGACTGCAAACGACTTGTCATTCAAGTCGTCATGAAGGATAGTCATCAAATTACTGGGCCATCTTTCGGAATGCTGGCATCATTTTCGATTTTTCTTGACTAAAGGGTGGAGTGAATTTCGTGGCTCTTTGGTCGAGAAGTAAGACGCAATCAAATTTCCTTCTCTCACCCGATTAATTCAGGCGGATAAATTTTTGTATTGTTTACGGCGTACTTAGCACGCTTGCACTTATTTCACGCACTTAATGATGTGATGTGTCTTAATTGCACTGACAAGCATACGGTGGATGCAATCTGAACTCAGCTGCGATTACAGTCAGAACTAATCAGAAGCATCTCTTTCAGGGCTTTCTTCATTCATCTGCCTCATCGTTTGAACAAATGACTCGACGCGATTCATGCGCTCCTGAAATTGAAATCTTTAAAGCAGTTAGAGGATGGGTGCAGTTGCACGCCAGTCAGTTTTGCTTTGTGTTTTTTACTTTTTAGATTTAATTGATTCAAAATTATTTTTAGTTTTACAACTAGAAGATATCGAAATAAATGATTGCATCAAAACTGCGCTTGCCTTTGATAAAACACTGAATGATTTTGTGAATACCGTTCTACCACTGAATGGTGTTCGACAATTTCTTGAATGGTAAAATAAATAAATAAATAAACAAATAAACAAACAAATAAATAAATAAACAAATAAATAAATAAATAAAAATAGATATAAAATCCGCACCAAGGATTTAATTCATATATAAGCAACTGTGATAATATTATAAATATTAAACGAAAAAAGCCATGAAATTATTGTTGACACAAAGACATAAATATCGGTGAACTTCGTATTTGCTTCTTATAAAATTTGAACCCCTTATTGTAAATCAGTTAATAACGTGTTTCTGCATTAGAAATTGAGGCAATATGCAATACTCGATCGGTCGATTTCAACCATGCGACTCAGTGGCTTATAAGCGATAAAAATTGCCTTTTAGGGTTCATAACGAAATTATTAAGCTATGAAAATCTTTGAAAATTACGAAAATCCTTGTTCTCCATGTATATACATCTCTGCCGATACGCGCTTTTAAAATGTCTTATAAGTCGAATGATCTCTGAAACACCGTCACGCTCCATTTACCTCCAACGCACCGCTGCATCTTTGGCAGATTCCAGGAACAATATCAGAGGTGTGTGCCAAAAAGAGCGCACTACTGGGAACAGCTAAAATACTGCGCAGAACCAAATAAAAGCCCAAACTTTTATAAGGAGTCTATTCCTGACAATGGCTGTAGAAAGTCAATGCTCGGCGTTGGATGAAGCAACCACTGCACTCACCCAACCCTACCCATAATTTAACCTGCCTCTCAAAATCTTATCTAATCCTTTCTTATTCATACTCGATCAATAAGGAAGTTGAGCAAGAATGACCTTGTTCAACAAGGAAATGCTATTGCATACTGTTGTTTCGAGCAACAATTTTTAATTTCTACGAACCATTGCTAAGAAAATGCGCTTCTAATAAAAATGTTTTTTTCTGTTGCATTATTGAACCAAGCAAATTTGTAGGCGAAAGTATAGATGGATCGACAGCATCACCTGAACCAGAGCTTATAAAAAAGACTACTAAGGGAAGGAACACTAAGAATCACAGAAAGCACAATTTCTTGTAGTTTCAGTCGAAAAAAAGGCTAAATTGCCTCCACCTCTTTCCGTTATGTTCTTCATTCTTATCCCGAATCAATGTAAATAGTTATATTCTACAGGATTGATAGTTTAATAAAACACTGCGAAATAAATAGTGTATAGACAGTACCAAATAGTACTTGAATGAACTACCATTACTGAACCAAATTTGCAAACAATGCAAAAGCAATCCCATAATAATGCGACCGATTACTCTGGTAATGATAGCAAAAATTTGAAGTAACCTAAAACTTATGCAGTAACACTAAAATTTATTGCAACTAGTCCACACCAAAAAAAGTCATATGCAAAAAGAAACCACCGCACCAAACCACCAATAACCGCAATAATATGAAATAACTATTCAATTAGTATGGTATATCTCCAAATATATATAGCAACGAATTCGCCTTGAAGCAATTCAAGTCGTTGGATGAAATCATTTTCGACTTTCAAGTATTTCAGTCAATGCGTATTGAAAGATTTGAAGCTTTTATGAATTAGTAAAAATTAATGCCTCGAGGGCAGATTTACAGAGTTCATTCGCTGAAGCTAAATGCAAAAATAATTCTAAATTATTTCGCACTTTTTGCTTCGCTAAAATATTTTTTATTTCATTTAATTTGCATTTAATTTTGATTTAATTTGTTGAATTTTTTGCGTCTAAAAATCCATTTGTTGCGTAAAATCTGTGTTATCAAAAATTTTAAAAAAATTTCTTAAAAATAAATTTTAGCATTCTTCTCAGGCGAAACCAATAATATCGAAATATCGGAGTTATTAGGATTTACAATCGCGAAATTTGCAGTTGCCACCGTCAAAAGTGTTTGGTATATTCACCATTATATTTCAATAGGCTTTTGTTGAATTCCATTTGAGTAAAAGCACGAGCTTCTGTAGCCAATGAATATCCCACATGTTTTCAAAGATTCTTCTCCCTAAGAAAGTAGCCTAGATGGCAGAAAAATGAAAGGATCTTTGCGGATGGACTAGGGTATATGGTATATGAGAGAAGACTTCGCTGTGTAACTTAGATAAAGTGGACGATTAGTTTGATGTCGTCGTGTAGAATGATGGACTTCTATTGACCAATGTTAAATGCTCTTTTCTAGTGGAATAATTCCAACTGGTTACTGGTTACTGCATGACTCTATTATATTCACTAAACCAGGTTTTGAGGAGCTATAATGGACAACCACAAAAGTGACCATAATCCTCTTCAATTGAAGGATGAATTTTGGTACGGATGTGAGGAGCTCGACCTTGTCCAGCCATTTCGCCGATCTTTTCCTGTTGTAGAATATAATCCATTTATTACCACAAATAAAAATTCGTTCTCTTGCTAATCTGTTTCTGTAACAGCTCGAAATAAATATCATAAATAAATAAGTGTCAATGTCATTTTCTATCAAATTTGATCGCACAACAAAAAAAATTAAAATTATCCATTACTATTAAAAGAAACAAATCACGGCGATATAAGACACAACAGCTAATGTGGCATTACAATAAAAATATACAGCAAGAAAAGCAAGACACAAAAAAAAAACGATGGAACTTTTCAAATGACTTAATAGACAGTGAAATACTATTCATATAAAATCCACAAATTCTTGTTCTTCTTTCAAAGCTATTTCCTTCCATCCCACCGCAGATTCCCAATTGCTCAAATTGACGATAGACTAGATGTAGGATAGATCCTTTTTCTATGCGAAAAGAGAGTTGTTTATTACTTTTCCTAACTGATACTTCATTCTTACAATGTTTCTCTTCACACAGACAAATAAAGTATAGAAACCATTAGGTGTTGGCATCTTACAGCAAAAAAAAGTTTGATCTATCGTGCGACCATGAACATTTTGAATAAAAAGAATAAATCAGTAAATCTTCAGCTAAACGATAAAATAAATAACAAAAAATTTCTCTAGAATCTCTATAGCCATTGAAAAAAAAAAATTCAACAAAATTGTAAAAATAATAATAAAAAAGATTCTATCTCGCATTGCTATCCTTCTATGAATTTTTAATAGTCTACGACATTCAGTTCCCTCTTTGTTCCTTTTATTACCTTTTCGATTTCATTACGTACGGCATGATATTTAGCAGCAGATCGAATCTTGATTTTATCCAATTCAATATCCATGTGAGTAGCTGCAAAAACGCATGCATCGTCACACATTTGCAATATTTAATATAAATAGGACAAGAAAAATAAGAAATGAATATGATATATGATAGAAACAAAAATTTTCTTATCATAGTATTAAAGCAGGGATAGAATGGCTCAGTGGGTTGTTGCTCGATTGGAGGCGTCTATGTTCAGGTATGATTCCCCACAAGAGTAAAATCTGGGTGATGCCGGCGACTCACCTGTATTCCTATCGCCAAGGGATTCCGTAGCATATTGCCAAATGCGACAAGCCAGTGGAGCGAGTTTAACCAGTAATGGTGAGAACTTTTTAAAAAAAAACCATTAGAGCACTGATATTATTCAAATATGACTGCAATAAACGACTCACCGAAACAGTAAATCGAAAGGAAAGCAGCAAAAGAATTCTCGTTTTCTTCAATGAAATCAAGTGATGCCGATACACAGCATTCGGCAGCGTTCTCGAATCCGAAACGAGAGCGGAAATTCGATTCAATTCCGGTCGTCCGCTCTCCAACAGCACTTCTATTCATACATCGTAGTTCCCCAATCAAATCACAATTCGAAGCTTTCAGAGCACCTCGAGGAATCTCTATTAACATCCTGAAATTTCATCGTAAGTTTTTCTTCAGACATTTTAAAATAATCTTATTTTTCATTATTTGTTTCAATTTTTTAAATTAGAAAATTGCAAAATAAATAAAATAAATGAATTACTTGGTGCAGAAATTTTTGCTCGCAAAACAAAATCTGCGAAAGCACTACAACAACAAAATGTAGTATATATTTTTTTACCGTATTAACATTTAAACGTGTTTCTATCGGATAAAGACAGTTCTACCAATCCGTAGGGCAAGTCTTTCTGGTAATTATAATCATGGATAATGGCCCAAGCCTAAGCCTAAGCCTCAAAGGGATATAAACGAGATATAACGGGTTTTTTGTGGAAATATAAAATGGAATAGTAAGGTTAAAAGACAATTCTACCAATTCGTATAAATGACAAGAAAGAGCGATTCCAAACATATAAATCAGCCGATTTTTTTGCGCACATGAATTATATAATGATATGATATGATAACAGTTTACTGATAACAGAATATAAACAAAACTGAATTTTATTTTAAAATAATACGATAATAATTTATATAACACCACGCATTAAAATAATTTATGCAAAAATAATTTAAACGAAAAGCAGAGAACCTATTGGCTGTGCTAAAATTCAGCTAATTTGTTGCATCGTCTGACGCCTGCGAAGAAGCATTTCATCGTTTCAGAGCGAGTTTAGTGGAATAAAATAGGAAATGTTGTCTCTTAACCGTGAAAATCCTTGAACCTTTTTGTCGAAATTCCAGGTTAGCCGACCTACGCAAAGCTTAGGAGAAATACAATAGCACTCCAGAGATATGGGGGAAACTGGGAGAATCAGTTAACGGCTGGAAGAAGATATTATAGGATTGGTACTCTTCGAAGGTGATTTGTACACCCCATATGCCAGCAATAGACGAAATTAAGAATCGCATATTGTACATCCACGAAAATTTTCCAGTTGCACTTCTTTCTACGGAACGATTATGCCTAGCATGACTGAACCACGAAACCAGTCCCAAATAGAGAAATTAAAAGGATCCAAATCAGGAGATTGCAGAACACTTGATAATGCAACGTTATTGGGAGTCTGTCTGGGGCTGTCGAAGGAAGGCAGGTCGCAGATTTTGCTCATCGCGCTGGCGTGTTGCGCGACAACTTTTACGAGGGAATCATCTGGCGATAGAAGTTGAATTACTAACACCACCTATACTCTTCATAATCTAAAAAATTAAATTTCCGATTGAGGAAGTTCCATAAAATTTGCATGGAACTTTATGGCTAATAAACTTTATTTACGATAAATATAAAAGATTAAAATAATTTTTGAAAAATTTTTCAAAGCAACAACAAACAAATTTACAGCGGGGAAATAAGTGAACAGCGGTTAAAATCAGATAAAGCGCTGGTTTTAGTCGCAGAGTGCAGGCTCGAGTTTTGCGCAGCCTAACATTTGCTACCCATTCATGGAGCTGGTATCCTTGCGATATAAAAGGATCCGAGAAAATTTTATCACATACTTTGAAAACAAAATGTTTTAAGATTTTTATGCCTTTGTTAAATCGCTTTCATTTCTCTTTATTGAGGAATTTTTATTTTAATTTAGGATGTAAATATTCTCACCGCTGGTGATTTTCTAATGCAAAAATTTTGACTGGAAGAAAAGGCGAGTAATTTCTTGAATGGTGAGATGAATAAATGTGATATAGACCGTGGAATTATTATTGAGACAGAGGTGCGATGAGCTTCGGTGAAAATTCGTTTTTGCCTCCTATAAAATTTAACCTCTTACTTTATATGGTATTTTTATAGATTTTCTTCGCTCACCGTTCGCCGCCCTTCTTGCTCCAGGCAATTCAAAAGCGCTCTATCCTTGCTTACCCAGAATGAAAAAAAGCTATTCTCATTTAATGCGCATTTTAGCTTGAACGTCCTTTTATCATCAATCAAATTTCCCTTCCTCTTCGGGAATCGTACAATTATTATATTGATATAAGTAAAAATTTTTCATTTTCGCTTGATTTTTATTTTTTGCTTTCATCACTCAAAAGCATCAAATTTTTCGTGGATCCCGAAGATTGGATGAGAATAATCCTGAATAATCGGAAATATCATTGTCGTTCAATTCAAAATTTTGTTTTCTCCGAGCAGGGGCAATGAAGTATGTTTTCACAGTTCTTGAATTTCTCAAATTTTCTCGCTTATTTTGCGTCTTCAGATTTATTCGTGTCATTGGTGTCTTTGAAGAGTCTTAGAAATGCGTTTCATGTGATATCCCTTAAGGCAATGTGCAATACTCGATCGGTCGATTTCGATCATGCGACATCAGTAATTAGTAAGCATTATGGAAATTGTTTTTTTGGGTTTAAACAAAAACCTTTTCAGTTAACATTGGGCTTTCTTACTTTTTTTTATTGTTTTAGCAATTACGGCCCCATTCTTCATTTTTCTTTATCCACACTGTTTCTTAGGGGGTTAAGAATGTCGCAAAGGAAACGTCAGAAATTCGCTACATCCAATATTTGGAAGAAAGAAATTTGTTTAAAGATTTCTTTGACTTATTACACTTCTAAAAAGTCAGAATCTAATGCACTTACTATTTCAGAAAACAATGATAAGGATTTTTTATCATGCAATCAACCTATGATGTGTAGGTAATAACGACTTTCGAATCTGCATTTCGTCATAGGATTCTTGCATTTATTGCTTTATAGTCTAGTTTATAGCATATATTTGGGCACAACTGATAATGCTTTTTTATCAAATTTTCTTGAATTATATGGTATTTAATGCGATTGAATGTTATATGATTTTTTTCTGTATATGGTGAATTATGGTGAAATAAAAATGAAATCATCCGGTCTCATTATTTCGTCCATTCTAACTATCTGATAAACTCTCAATAATAAAAAGTTTATTCTTCGCATTGGCATTGTTGGTACATTAGCAAGGCTTTGATTAGCAGAATTACTGTTGCTTAGATTATCATTCGTGATCACTTCATAAAATCTTATCAAGATTGCAAATTTTATGTACAAAAGTACTTAAGGATAAAAGATAAAAGGCATATAAGGCACAAAACATGTCGAAAAATGATAGCAATCGTTTTAACTTATCAAATATTTGGAATAGCAAGGCAGCTTCTGGGAAGAATTATTTACAGGAAAAAAAGTAATTTGGAAATATCGAAAGCAAAAAAAGGATAAAAAATGAAGAAGACAAACTTAATAAGAAGTATTTGCACCTGGTAAAGCATACATATTCATAGAATATAGCAAGCATTTTTTAAGAATATCATAAGAATTTTTCAAATCAGAAACGCTCAAATAAATATTCAACTGTCATATGCAGCGCAATAAAATATCGACATAAAAAAAAAATCAAATTTATTTAATAGCTATGAAAAGCACAGATTTCACGAAAGAACGTTTTTTAAATTACCTATTTTCTACGGTAAGTTTCGCTTGGCACTGTGAAGCTCCTAAAGGATTTCGTATAGTTACAATGTACAAGCCAGCATTTGCATGAGATGTTCGTTGAATTTCAAGAACCGCTTTATTCCCCGTCATGTAAATCTGCAAAAAATTACGGCATATTATTCACCTAATATATCATGCATTATTTTAGATTTGCGCAGAGATCATGCACTGTTTTATAAGTTTGCGAGTAGCACTTTGAAGTGCTTACACCAAGCGAAATTTGCTTGTTTACAGCCTCGAGACATGTTAAGTTAGATAATAGCAATTTAAAAATTTGATGTTTTAATACCTTATTATCGCGTGAACCATAAAGAGGTCTTCCGTTGAACTGCCACGCTATAGTTGGTTGTGGATTACCGCTTATCTCGGCAATAAATTTAACGGTATGACCTGTAGAATTATATGAAATTATATATGCGTTCGAACAAAAGATTATTATTATAAATTTATTATAAATCACACATTTTAATTGTTATGAAAGATGTCTTTGAAAGAAGATATCGATATAAAAACTGAGAAATTGATTGTACCAGGTCGAGCAGAAATATCAGTTAATCTTGAGATAAATTGTGGTGGTTCCTTTGAACTTGATTTTTTATTGCCATTGGTCTGGGGCTCCATTTGGACCGAATCGCTTTTATGAAAATTACTGCTACTTTTTGCTGTAATAAATTATGATCATGCAGTTCCAATTGACATGATCATCATTTTGTTTAATGCTTTACAAATTTATTTGGCTTATTAGGATTAAATATAAAATATAAAAAGAAGAAAAAAATTTTAAAAAAAAGAAAGTAAAATAAGATTACGCTGAAGGACAAGATTAGCAACAGTAGAAGCTTTGCCAGCTGGGTTAGTGGCCTCACATTTATATTCAGCTACATGTTCTTGAGCACACTGTTTGATGCGAAGGGTTGTTTCATCCTTTGATTGACTTATCTCGAAATTACTGCTCTTTTTAATCGGTTCATTGTTACGATACCATCTTATAGTTGGCTCTGCACAATAAACAAAATATAGTATACAATAAATATTTATATATAAAATATAAATACAAAAAAAAGTGAAGAAAAACAAAAAATTTACAAAATACAGCTGGCATAAAGGAAACAAAAATTAATACCAGGAGAGCCAATGAACTTGGCTTTGAATTCAACAGTTGTGCCCTCCTGAGCTGCGACTGGTTGAATTTGCAGCGAAAATCGGGGAGCTTGAAGTTTTGGACCTTCTTCAGATCCTTTGCCGGTTTTTGCGAGTATTATATTCAAACGAGCCTTACATCTTTAAAAAATGAGGTTGTTAATTTTAATAACCATATAATACAAAAGGATATCGAATAAGCAAAGCAATAAGAAAAATCAGTTACCTTGCCTCACCACTAGGATTCTGCGCGACACATTCATAAATTCCACCATCCTGTGGCAATGTATCCGTGATTATGAGCAAATGTTTATTACCTTCTTTCACAATATTATATCGATCATCATTGGGTAATGGCTTGCCGTCCTAAAACATTTATGACCAATTCGTAAAAATTCATGGGAATTCAAGTGATTGCGACGTAACAGTCACACGGTATGCCTTAAAAATCACTGCAATCTAATTATATTCTAATAATACTCAACATTTTTGGTTCGACTAGCTTTATCAACTATAGAAGTGAAAATCTTTCGCCAAAAAATCTTTCACTTCCATACATAGAGAGAGACAGAAGCACAAATGAATTAGCAACACCAACCCAATTCATTTCAACCATAGTCAAGGGAGAATAAAAATTAAATCTATGATCCATTTCGGTGAAATACCACTGTACCACTTCATCTTCCAGTTCTGAAAAATTAAAAAATAAAACCTTAAACCAGCTAGTTGTCGGTTCTGGAGTACCCGCAACAACACATGAAAACTGTGATGAGGCGTTCTGTTGTGAGCGTACGTCGTTTATTCGTTGCTTAAATTCCGGCATTAACCCACGATCAGCTGGTTTCATTACGGTTAAGCTTGCAGTAGACTCAACAGCTCCAGCAACATTTTCTATACGACACAAATATTCTCCCGAAAATTCGGGCTTTAATTTGTTAATATTAAGTGTTGAGCCAGTATTAGTTGTGTTGATCTGAAGAAAAAATAATTGTCGTTGATTAAGAAAAAAATATTTTTCTAGAAATAGCACTAAAAGCAATTTAGATAACCTTAAGTAAAATTACTGAACCAAAAAAATCATATATTTTCGAACTAATAATTCGATAGACTACTTTTTGAAGTGTATCATTAAATTTTAAAATTAAAATTAAATTTTCTATCAAAGCGATATTGAAATTTTTTTTTGAAAGAAAGAAAGGTCGACCTGAAATTCGAAACTTGGCTTAATTTCTTTTCCATTTTTAAGCCAAAGTACGTTCATCGGATGCGAACCATCAAACGCACAGAAGAAACGAGCTGATCGTCCAACCTCGCCTTGAGTTGGTTTAAGTTGAGTTGATATTTGCGGCGGATTCTTCTGCGTTTGCCCAATCTTTGTTGGCATTGGCTAAAATTCTTTTTGATTCTCTTTTACGAGTTAGGAAATTTAAAGAATAGTTTTTGATATGAAATAAGCATGCATTATATCAATTTAAATCGAAGCACTCTTTTGCATCTAACATGCAATCGAAATGAACTAAATTACCATAAATTATAGGCTTAAAAATTACTTTTTATGTCTTCAGTATGAAAAAAAGTAATAATTTGAATTAGAAAACTGAGAAAATTCATGCTAAATGCCACGTCATAAAATTCAAAAATGTACATTTCACAAATAAAATATTCAGCAAACGTTACTGAAACCAAAGTACCACTTAATAATAATTCCAGTGCTAAAATCGAAACATTTAAAGATTTAATACTCTTATCATGCGAAATCCACAAATACGCTCAATTCCACCATAGATGCGATACTGAATGCCTCGCTGCATGTGTTCATCGCATTTTAGCTCATTGTATAATTCCACATTATGACTTGGACGTTCCTCATAAGTATAACAAAGCAAATTTGACTAAATAACAAACATATATCAGTTAGATGAAAGCACTGCACACACAATTCGAACGCTAAATAATTTGATAGCCGATGATTTGGCCAAATTTTTTTCTCCGCGGATATATACAAAATTCAAGAAAATAACGATTGCCGCAGAAGAAAATTTTTTTATTTTTCATTTATTCGACCCATTCGCAATTTTTTTTATAAACTTGTTGCTGACGTTCACTCCCATTTAGTTATCCAAAAAAAAAGAAAAAATCGCGCAAACATTTCTGTGCTAAACCATAGATCTTAAGAAATGTTAAGTTAAATATTACATGAAATATAGAATCCAAAATGTATCCATTACATGCGAAAATGATATCGTAAAAGTCCAGCAAAATAAACGAACCTTGGATGTGATTGTAGTTTCTTCTATTTTGCTAAAAATTTAATTAGTAAACAATACATAGTAAACAAAAGACACTGCAAAAAGTCAAATGATTAAATATTAACTCAAGCTAACCTTTCCGAAGTTGGACAATCACAAATCTAAAGCAGAATGTAGTTACCATTCTGGGAATCGAACCCGCAAACAGGAAAAGATTTATAATGAACAAATATACTATCTTCCGTTAATATTTATATTTATATTATATTTTTATATTATATTTAATATTTACATTTATTTATATTAATATTTATAGTTGAGGTTTATTTCAAAGAAAAACAGCAAATGCAAAGAATATAATGAATTTTCATCCAATATCCTCTTAAAAGGCTCTTTATACAATTTCCGCAACAAAATAAACTATAAAATAACAGCCGACCAAACTAGTACCTTTTTACGACAGGAGGAGTTTCTTTGAGAGGACCAGATTCAATCGTGGAAGTCTCCGAAGGTTTTACGACTTTCGGTTTGAATTTCTGTCGAACAGTGACTTGATCTTTCGCAGGTATATCAATCTAAAATAAAATTGGCGAGACGTGACTAAAGAACGAGTTAAATATTAACAAAGTGCCATAATAATTTGAAATAAACTGTGGACGAATCATAAACCTCTTTCGGTATTTCTGGACCTTGAACTACGGAAGCGAGTTTAGCCCTTTCTTTTTCGATTTCAACGTGTTCAGCCGAAGGAACTGCTCCAGCTGGCTTAGGTTTCGCTATTTTAAGTTTGACTTGATCCCTTGCAGGTGTATTGACTTCTTTCTCGGGTTCATTTAGACGGTTAAATCTTACAAATTAAAATAAATAAGTTAAGATAAATGGTTCATGTTAGGCATTTCATTATATTATTTTATTATTAAAAAAAAATTTCTTTAGAATTATCACCACTGCTGATTAGACCCGTTCCTCTGGCTTGTTGCACTAGATAGAAATGCCAGGGATATCCCTTAGTGATATAAATATAAAGAAGTTCTCAGCATCACCCGGATTTTTGGGCAGATTTATGATCTTTACGAAAAGTCAATTGAGCCATTCTATTTTCCTTTATTTTTCTCCGTTAAGCAACGCTATCGCCCGATGAAGAAGAATGCATCTGCCGATTCGAATCAGAGCATCGATTCTCGGTGGCAATTATCTTACCACTACGACATTAAGCACAAAATAAAAATCAAAGACCCATTTGATTTCGATAATTTGGAAGTTTATAATTCTTTTAACGTTTTTTCTTGTCTTGAAAATCTTATTTTACTTAATTTTAAATAAAGTTCAATTTAATTTGTAACAAAAAAAATACAAACCGCTTTTCAACATCACCTAGTTTGGTTTCAACTGCCCAGCTTGGTTGTGGCAGAGCAGCACCACTTGGTATTGTTGGCTTTTCAACAGCAGGTGCACTTCTAAGCTGAACTTTCTCTATTTCTTCCTTCGGCAACTCGTATTTTTCAATTCGACCAGGTTTTAAAGTAACTGGTTCAAGTTCAAGACCTTTGAAAGTTGGTCGCGATGTTTCAACCTATAATGACATTAATGAAAACGCAAAAGGAGATACAAAAACATTCTGTATGCAAAAAAACCAAAATAATTTGAAAATCTTACATAATTAATTTGGTTGTAGAACTGATCACCCTTCGGCCTCGTGAATTTTTCCATAAGTTCTTTTGATTCAAGTGGCTCAATTGGTGATTTTGACCGTTCAACTTTAACTAATTTTTGTTGGTCAGGCTTAGGAGCGTTTTCGAAAGCTTCACCAAGCTGTCCCAAAGTTTCCTAAAAAAGAAAAAACATTAAATTAAAATAGTCCGGAACTTTGTATATGTATATTGCAATTTATGGAAACCCACTTTTTGCCATGCAATCTCCCTCTCTTGTAATTCGTCGATTGTTTTGAAAGCAGTTGGCTTCAACTTTACATAACGGAAATCCTTTTGTTGGAATACATCAAGCATTGCTGAAGCGAGTACTTCGCCTTCCGAATTTTTCGCTATCACAACAACCTAAATTATCAATGATGCTAAATAACACATTACGATACTTTATCACGATTTGAAATACACTCCATAACCTAGAAAATTATCACAAGTGAAGGTACTAGTAACATATGCGCACCATTATACAAAATATTTACCTCTCCAGCATCCGATATCCTTGTCTTTAGCATCGTTAAATAGTAAATTCCGTCATAATTCAGCTTGTACCGATGGCCCTGAAAACATGAGAATCCAAGCAAATTGCTGCGCATTTATGAAAGAAAGCAAAAAAAAAATATAGGAAAAGAAATTAAAGGTTGGGAAAACGTGCTTTATAACAAAGAAAATATACATGAAGCGCTTGGTTTCCGTTGATGTACCATGTTACCTTTGGCTTTGGATAACCGAGAACGGCACACTCGAAACGAGCCGGTTCATTTTCGACTGCTTGAACATTTCTCGGTTGAATGGTAAACTGAGGACTTTGTTTGACTCGATGCTGTTCAACAGTTTGATCTGACCTTAACTATGTTCTAATCAATTCAAAAAATATTAAAACAAAACATTAAAACATTAAAAATTTCTAAAGATCTGGAATAAATAATAAATTGCTTTGTTATAAAAATAATAACTTCGGTTAAGACAGAATCCTTTCGAGAATAAAATTCATCTTATTTCACCTCAGTCATGGACATTAAGCATTCGTCATTTCTCATTAGAAGTCAAATTTGAAATATTATATGCTTATGCTACAAATTTTTTAAATATTTAGATGAAATTATAAAAAACGAACCAATACGGCTGGTCACCAAGTTTTTTTACATCTGAAACGAGAACACCTTGAGGTAATTGGCTATGAGTAATGATGTGTTTCGTGGCAGAGCATGCTAATTTAGCAGACACTGAAGCTTGGCCGTACCTATTCGTTGCCACACACATATATTCACCAGTATCATCTGGAAGCGCATAGAGAACATCCAAACAAGCAAAACCAAAGTCTAACGTTGAACGGAAGCGATGACCTGCAATAATCAAATAGGCTTTTTTTCAATAGGCTTCATTTTTGATAGATGAATAATCTAAATTAAAAAAAATTCTTTTAGATCAATAATGGATTTTTTGGATCAATAAAAATTATAAAAAGTTCGTCTGAAATTTGGAAGACAGAATTATTCATAGCCATGATAGAATTCACGAGTATATATATATATATATATAGTAGCTGACGAGCAAAAAAATTTATACCAATAAGCACTGGTTTCTTATCCTTGAACCATTCGACCTTCATATAGGGATCATTTACGGGAGCGACCTGAGTTTCGAATCTGCAGTATTCACCTTCTTCGATACCTATATTTATTAAAGGAGTTTTGAATTCTGGTGGCCTTTTTAAAGCCTCAACGTAAGCATCCGCTTTCGTTAACGCGAGAGAAGCAGTAGTATGTTGACGCATATGACTTTCGAGATTCTCAATGTTTGATCCAGGAGCTTGTGGAGAGAATTCTAGTGATGGCACTGGGTGAACCTAAAATTATCATTTGTAACAATAGAAATAATTTATAACAAAGATTAGCTTAATTTTTCTAAATTTTAGTACAAAAATTCCAATTTTTATTCCATCATAATTAGAAATTTTTCTTATTTTGCAAATTTTTGGAAAATTTAAGAGAAATTACAAAATTTTAAGATTTTGGAAAATCAAATTGATCAATAAGCCTGCAAGGCCCAAAATGTCAAAAGCCTTTTCAAAAAATAAAAAAAACATAAGTATACAGTTATTGTGGCTTGCGTACTGGCTTCGCCTTTTTCGTTGACAGCTATACATTCGTAGATACCAGTGTCTGTCGTATATGCATATAAAATATCAAAAGTGACAAAACCAAATTCACAAGAGAATTTAAAGCGTGATGCTTCTTGCAATGGAACGCCATCCTTCATCCAGTGCACAGTTAGTTTAGAATCATTTATAGGCGTAAAACGACATTCCAAATGGAACGGTTCACCTTCCTTCAATAAATAATTCTTAAATATTTCTAAAGACAAAGCAATAGCAAAAACTAAATACATGAAGAATTATGAGGAATTAAAATAACCGAATAAAACCATGAATAGAAAGAAAGAAAAATTCTTACTACACCATCAATACTTTGAACAAGCGGTTGGATTATCTTTGGCGATTCTATTTCTATGGCACTCGTCACTTCGACGCGACCTATTGTTTCTGCTACTCCTTTTGCATTTTTCGCAATACATCTAAAATAATATTCGAAGTTTTTAAAAAACTAAATGATAATTAATCTGACCTGAGAAAATTAAAAGATTCTATCAAGATTTATATGAAAGATTTATGTAAATCCTTTTCTGCGATGCCAATTGCAAGCAAGCGTTTCATAAATGAATTAATGAATTAAAGAAATGGAAAAAATTAGTTAAAAAAAAAATTGGAGAAACGAACTTATATTCTCCACTATCTTCACTAATCAGATGCTTAATAAGAAGAGTTGCTACGCCAAAATCATTGGTCATGTGAATACGATTTGAATATGGCACTGCATGACCATTATGTTGCCATTCAATCTGCAATGATGGATCACCGATCGGCTCGAGCACACATGTAAAAGCTGTCGCATTAGCTTCGCCGATCTAAAAAAAATTTGATTGAATAACAAAATGATAATGAAAACTATGAAATAACCACAATTAATATATAAAGCGAAATGATACAAAAGTTTTGTATAAAAAAAAAAGTTTACAAAATTGTACATAAAAATTATAAAAGTATTTTATTATTTTACTTGTCCGAGATCCTCAAGATTTTGAGTGAAATATGGTGCCCCATATTCCTGCTGAGGCTGATCAAGATCATCTTTAGGACGATGAATCCAGTCCTCTAACTGAATTATTCGTTCTTTGCGCACCGACAAACTTTGCCAATCATAGGAAATACCACTAGTACCTTGCACCTACAAAGTCAATCATTACTTGTTAATACATTTCTTTAAAAAATCGTCACCAATTAATTGTAAAATTTACTTGAATTTCACATGATACTTCATCGAGCCCTTTGGCATTTGAGGCTCTGCATTTCCATGTTCCAGAATCTTGTGGTTCAACAGGAGAAAGTTCAAGAACGACGTAACCAAAATCATGTATTGTTTTCATCCGAGAAGTGTGACCGACTGGTTTGTTATTGTGAAACCATTCTATCTTCAAATTTGGATCAGCCACAGGTTCTACCCTAACTTCGAGATGAGCCATTTGCCCTTCTACCAAAGTCGGAAGATTCTGAATAAGTTTCGATGAAAGAAATATATTGAACAATGACAAACAGAATATAAATTTAGAAAAAAAGAATGAACAAAGAATATGAAAAGAACATGAACAAGCCAAAATGGAACTTTTTCTCAATATATTTGGTAAATAAACATACTTCAAGTTGATTCAGGAAGTGTGGTGAACCATGATCAAGATCAGGCATATCGGGCTTTGGTCCCTTGGGGGTTTCAATCTCTTGAATTTTGTTATAAGCTCCTGACATCCTTTCAGGTAACTGAGAATTGGTAATAATTACTTCTCTCGGTATACAAGTGAGTTGAGTGCTCGTAACGGCTTCCCCCACCTGTAAACAAAAAATTTAAAAAGTTTCACTCAAAAAAAAGTTTCACTCGAATAAGTAAAAAAATTTTTCTTAAAATCTTGTTTTGAAATATGAAATATGAAATTCAACCACATTTTTCATGAAAATCCTCAAAATTATTCAGAAGAATCAAACACAATGTCCCGTAAAAATTCAAACCTGGTTTAACGCGCGACAAGTATATTCGCCTGAATCTTCCGGGTAAGTTGGAAATATTTCCAAAACCACGATACCGAAATCATTGATGGTCTTCACACGACTTCCAGTTTTTAAGTTTTTACCATTTAAGAACCATAAAATCTAAAATCCTTAAAATAGATTTCGAATTTACTGTTATAAAGTTCAGCTATACATTTATAAATTTTTTTAATCATTATTTTATGATTTTTAAACCAGTCAATTAAACAGTCAGAGCATTTTCAACAAGAAAATAAAATGGAGAAGCTTCGCACTTGCAATTGATTATCGTCAATCGGTTCATAGCGAGCGGTAAAATGAACTCGATCGCCTTCTTCACATGAAAGTGGTGCAGATAGTGGTTCGATAAAAACAGGAACAACTTTTTTTTCATCGAGAATAAGTTCTTCAGGCTTTTTATGAAGAGTATCTTCCAACTGTTGAACTGCACGAGCCTTATCCTCGTTCTAGAATATTCAAAATCATAAAAAATTGATCAAATCTTGGTTTAAGTGGATGCTTATCTGATAAAAAAGACTATATTGATAAACGGAATAGCCTTGAAAGATTGATATACCTGCTGATTTCCTACAGCCTTAATCTCATGCAATGCCACTTGCCGAATCTATATCCATGAAATAACTCCCTCAAATTCCTGATGTACTACTTCGATACGTACAGACGCTTATTTTACGACCTACAACTAGCGCTATGACGAAAGCTACCGAAAAGTTCGGCATAATGTTAAAACAAAATAGGAGCAGATTAAGTCGCACTTAGGAAAGTGAAAGCAATAGAAAAATAATTAAAATGATGCCACTAATGAATTATGGCAAAAGAGAGTGGCAGTGCTTTTGACAAATGCTATATACCAACATTTGCCAATGTGGCTATAATAGAATCGTATTATAAGGTAAAAAAAGTGTGAAGAAACAAAATAGAGGTACTTAACATTAAAATGAGGATTTTAGTAACAAATTGTGATAAAGAGCATATAGATGCTAGAAGAATGCTAAAGAGATATTTAACGAGGCTCAAGAGGGTTTTCAAGAGGGTTTTAAGGATATATCAAAAGGTTTTAAAGATGGAGGATGGCAATATAACGAACTCTTGAAGTGTTTGATCGGACTGCAACAAAAGGATACAACAGACACATTCTAAAAGAGTATTAAGAGTATTAAGAACGAGCAACGGTAAAGTTGGCTAATTTTAGGCTGGAAGAAAACCTAGAGAAGAATAATCTGACTTACAGGGTGGAGGGTACTATTTAATAAAGGTTGATGTATAAACACAAACATACACATCAACCTGCGTAACAAAATGCTATACAAACTATACTGTTAGATAAAATTACTGATATTGTATTTTTGGACTTAATAATTACACCTTTTTTCAATGAGAAATAATAAAAATAATAATAATAAAAATTAAAGGCAAACAAGTGCTTATGACGTTCAAATATTTACTTGTGGATATAAAATTAAGCCTTCTTTACTGGCTATCTCTAATGTGGCTTCGCTAGTCGCCTCACCTGCGTTGTTGCTTACTTTAAGCAGATATTGCCCCGCATCCTATAAATACAATCATTTTGAAAAATTACAATTATTAAATCAATAGAGAGATTACTAATAAACCCCTAATATCGACGACGTAGTTTTGAAGTTTCATTAATCATTTTAGCTAAAAATTTAAATTTAAATCATCCATAACTAAGAAAATCAAAACGTAATATTGAACGTAATATTGAAAATTTCGAAACCTGAGCAAATAAGTGAAGTATATCGAGGATAGCAAACCCGAAATCTTGCACCATTTTGTAACGATTTGCATGAAAAAGAGGTTGACCATTACGAAACCACTCAATCTTGAGCTTAGGATCATCAATCGGCGTGTATTGTGCTTCCAAATGAGCACTATCACCCTCTGCAAGATCACTGGGATTTTGCAAATGTTTGGTAATTTGTGGAGCATTATAAATCTGAAATTATGAAAAATTTAGATTTCAGAAAATTGAACAAATTTAAGGTAAAGATTTAGCTGAAGAAAAGTTCATTTAAACAAGAATTGTAAAATCTCAAATAAAATTGTAAAATCTTGCACTAATTTGGAATGATTTCCAAAAATTACTTTGAAATCTGATTTTTTATTGGGGCTGTTCAATGAGATAGGCTCAAAATTTTTAGGAATCATCGGTTGCAACAGAAATTTGAATCTTTTGGCAACTGTAATAACCTTTGAAGGAGGTTCCCCGGGAAGTGGTTTAATAGCTTCGATTTCTTGTATTCGCTGTAAACTTTGCAACTGAATTGGATCACAAACAATGCTATCACGTCCCAGAATGTTTAAAATAGCAGAACACCTCGCTTCACCAGCCGAATTCTTCGCCACACAAGTCCATTCACCCGTATCACGAGGTTCTGTCTGGTTTATATCAAAGATCACCCAACCAAAATCATTGATCACTTTGATTCGTGAGCTGGCTTCGACTGGCGCACCATTCAGGTACCTTCAATAACAACAAATTTGATAAAAAAATACTTGTAAATACTTATGAATATAGATATTCCAATTCATTTATAACTCATTAATCACCATGAAATTTTAAGGTCAGGATCATCAACTGGTTCCACAGTAGCTTCAAAATGAGCTGGTTGACCTTCATAGAGATCGCCTATGTTTTGAATCTCCGTTAAGAATCTTGGCACCGTCTTTGGAAGCGGAGGTACAGTGGGTGCTTCAGGTTTTGGTGTTTCGAGTTCCTAAAATGTGATAATAAATTTCTTAAATAAGTCTTTTTTGAAGTATAGAGAGAGTTCAGAATGAAATAAATTAAAGATAAGAAAATTATCAGAAATCCAAAAAACAAATTCTTACTTGAATTCTTCGCCACGATTCTTCATGTTGAGTATCTCCGAGAATGGCATCCTGTTGGTGACATTTTAATGTTGCACTTGAAACGGCTTCACCAGCATCATTTATGACTCGAATTTGATAAATCCCCTAAAAATGGAAAGATAATTTAAAAGAGATGTACGATATAAAGGGTTCGATTATCTGAACCAAATGTGATTCAATTTTGTTGCAAATGGAGACCTGGTCTTCAGGATAGGTATATCCAATATCCAACGTGCAGTAACCAAAATCTTGTGAGATCGCATATTTAGATCCATGAGCAAGTGGCTGACCATTTCGAAACCACAGCACTTGAAGATTTGGATCGTTTGTAGGGGCGACAATTGATTCAAAATGGCTTGGTTCACCTTCACTACATTCGACATCAATGATCTGCGTTTGTATGCTTGGTGCTTCATATACAGGTGCAGGTGGTTCTACAAATAAGATAAGTAATACAATCAGTCAACAATTACGAATGTTTTTCAAAAGATTTTTGGAAACAAAAAATGTCAAATGAAAAACATGTCATTCAAATTTTACCAGGTGATTTCTCCTTGGGAGCTTCAATAATCTGAATTTTTTTCCACGACTCTTCATGGCTAGTATCAGTCAGAATATTGCCAAGAGCAAGAACCTGGAAAACTTGGACTGTTTCAAGATGTTCAGAATAAGAATGGTTCAAAAAATAATGATTTATTTAAAAAAATAAACAGATAAATATAAAAAAGTACTAAATGGATCTTTTCTTCAGTGAAAAAAAAACGATAAGTATTAAGATTGGCTCATCCCAAAATGAAAGTAAAGCAAAATTTCTAGCGAAAATTAATTTTCAAATTTTTGAAAAGAAAGATAGAAACTTTGATAGAAGCTGATGAAGCCGCTTCTCCTTCGCTGTTAATTATCTTCAATGTATACACGCCACTGTGATCGACATTTACACCATTTATATCGAGTGTAGCCCAACCGAGTTCACTTTTTGTCTTTATCAGTTGACTTGCTCCCAGTGGTTGACCATTCAATAACCATATCACCTGAAATTAAAACATGCTTGTAATAAATAGTTAGCTTTAATAAAATGCAATGATATCTTTCACTTTTTACTTTTAACTTATATTTGGTTAATATAAATTTTCGTTTCTTTACACCAGTTGATTCCAAATTTTAAGGCTGAAATTTTTGACTAAAAAAAGTTACATTCATTCAAAGACATCATAGTCCAGTCAGAAAAGAGTTTATCTATAAAAGAGTTTTATCTATTTCTTTAAACATAATGTACCACTTTTATTCAGAATAACTTAACTAGCTGCTACGATGAGATCCTTTTACTCAGTCACTCAGCAATAAAGCTACAGCAACTTCCCAAATTCCCTTTTTTATTATAGTAGAAGATGGCAGCCTTGTCAAGAACAGGAATCGAACCTATACTGCTCGCCCTCAGACGAAATAATATATGACTCAATTTTTCTAAACTGTATGTGTCCATAAATGATATGTTTTCGCAAATTTATCGCTAATTTATAATTTATCGCTAATTTTAGTTGTTTCGGAAAATGCTCCAATACATACAAACAAAATTCATTGGTTAATAAAAAACCGTGTATGATAAGGATTTGGATTTTTTAAATTCTTTTCAAAGATCATAAATTTTTCGCATATACCTTTAAGTCTGGATCGCGAGCAGGTTGAAACGTTGCTTCAAGATGTATTACGTCTCCTTCAGGTACATCCGAATATGATTCCAAATGAGTAAGGAAACGTGGCTTTTCTTTTTCATCTATATCTTCTACTTCTTCTAATATAGCTGGTGCTTCCAAAATTTGGATTTGTTCCCATGACAAAGGATGTTGAGTACTTCGGACAATAGCTTCATAACCTTCAAAAAAACATGAAATGCCTAAAACTATTAAAGATTATATGATAACAACGATTAAAAATTTTAGCTAAAATTATAATCCAAGTAAAATAAGCGAGTTTTTTTGCAGAACTGAAAGATGCAGAATTACTTAAATGGACTTATACGAACAACGAATAAATGAATGAGAAAACCGACCAGCAACTTTAACTGTGGCGCTCGTAACAGCTTCACCAGAAGCATTAATAGCCCGACATGTATAAACACCAGAATCCTGAGGAAGGACATGCACGATGGTTAAAGTAACATGTCCAAAATCGTTTTCATGTCGATATCGATTAGCTAAAAAAAAATCATATTTCTAACTCTTGCTGCACAGGAATTAAGCACGAAAAATTTAAACCTACAATTTTGCATTGGAGCATTATTGAAGTACCATTCAATTCGGAGACTTGGATCACCAACAGGTTCTACGAAACCATTTAGAAGGACGATTTCACCTTCTTGAAGATCATCAATATTTTCGAATATCTTTACCCAATTTGGTTTACCGAATTCTTGATCAACAACCTCAAGTTGCGGAAACTTATTCAATGCTTCTAGCTGTTGAATCTTTTGTAACGAAAGCGGATGCTGGCTACCAAGCTGCAGTGAATCATCACCTTAAATTTTAAAAATGAGTAAGAATGTATCGAAAAAAAAGTAATAAACCGGTCTTAATTTAAAAAAGTGAAGTAAACTTATATTTGCCATGTTCAACATAAAAAGTGATGTAATTACGAACCTAAAACAGATAATGAAGCACTCGTTACTGCAGTGCCTTGCTCATTAACGGCTTTACATGAATAAACTCCGCTGTGATGCGAAAAAACTGGTGATATACGAAGACTCACGCAACCAAAATCATTGCTTATTACATGCCAACTACTTTGTTGTAAAGGTGCATCATTGTGAAACCTGAAAATTATGAAACTTGAACATTTCTTTTTTGTACGAGTAGTAAGCATTTTCGACTGATCGATTTGAACAAATACCACTAAGAAGTATTATAAGAAGAAATACAGTTATGAAGAATAAAATTACAAATTACCAAATGATTTGCAATTTCGGGTCATTTACAGGAATAACTCTAGCTTCCAGTACGATTGTGCTGCCCTCAGGAACATCCGCAACACTTTGTAGTGGTTGAGTAAATGTTGGTTTTGCATAAGTGGGTGCTTCAATTGCTGCTGGGACGGTTTTAGGAGCTTCCAATTCCTGACATTATAGAAGAAATTTGATAACCATGAAAATCACAAAATCATTAAATTTACTAAGATTAACTAAAATTACATTTCATTTTATGGAACTAATGAGGCATATTTAATGAATTGTCCTTACCCGAATTCGTCTCCAGCTTTCCGCATGCAATACATCTCCAAGAATACTTGCTCGAGTCTGACACTGCAACTTCCCAACAGTTTCATCTCGTCCCGAAGAATTACTAATGATGCATCGAAATTCACCGGCATCCTCCGGTAATACATAATGTATATCCAATGAAACTAAACCGAAATCGTTTCGCATTGTTATTCGACTACTTGCCGTTAATGGGCGACCATTGTGGTACCTTTAAAAGAATTTATCTATTTGGGATAATCAGTGGTAAAAATTATTTATTTCTAAATTCTCTATTTTGCAAAACAAGGAAAAAAACAAAATTGCGCATTTTAGCCCTATGCAAAGCTTTTTAAAATTTTCCTTCTTTTACTTATATGTTTACATACCAATGTCGAATAAGAATATTTAAAATAGCTTACCAGGTAAGAACAATGTTTGAGTCCTTAATGGGTTCAAAAGCAGCTTCAAAATGAACTGGCTGTCCCTCAATAAGATCCAAATTCGAATTCAATTGCTTAACGAAGTGTGGTGGACCATAAACTACATCAGGCAAAGCCTCAGGCTTTAGCTTTGGCTGTTCTATTGCTTGAATTTTCTGCCAACTTCGTTCATTCTGAACATCGCCAAGTATTACTGAAAATGTACACATTAGAGTATTTGACACTACAATTAACAAAGACTAACGCGAAATTTTACTGAACTTTTAATATCTGATTATCCGCTCAATTTAAGAGAGAAAATGCAACTGGATAGTAACAATTACCTTCAAATGGAACTGGGAAGTTTAAAGGATTAAGAACTAAAAGAAGTTCGAAATGATGTTATTAATGACAGAGGGACTCTGAGATATTAAAGCTATACTTGCTAGGTTTGGAAGAAAACTAAGTTTTGTACAAAAATGGCAGATTTGGGGGGTGTGGAAGAGTTTAAATATGGCGTACCGATATTACTATGAATGAATTTAGTAAAAAAAAGAGCATACCAGAATTTTTACTCCAAGAGATCACACTAGGAAATTTATAGTAATATTAAAATATGAAAAAATGATGGAGCAAAATTAATAGAATTGAACTGAAGAATCATACGCGATCCTAATAGATATTAGTAATGCATTATGGTGAAGTGGAACTTTTAATATCGAGAAAAAAATGTTTCTAAAGATAAGAATAACTGAATTCAGCAAATCAAAAGATAGCATAGAAAGGATAGCAAGGAAAGAATATAACAAAGATTGAGAAGAATACCAAAAAAATTTATCAGATTTTACAAAAAATATTTGAATCTTTTTTTGGATGCATAAATACGAATGAACTGATCGAATTAAACAGGAACCGAGCAGAAATCAGACGACAAGAAACAACAATTAAAAGCTCAAATCAATGAGAAACTGATTCTGATGCTAAAAACTAATAAGAAAGAAAGATTTTGTTCTTTTCGAGAGGAACAGTGTCGCAAAAGCGAAATAAGAATACAATTTATTTTTATGAATTTTAAAATTTATCTAGCTAATAATATATTTTTTTACAATTTAATGCTAAATGCTAATTCATACCTGACTGTGGTTGAACATTCAGCGTCGTTTCCACTTGATCCTTCCCTTCATCATTGATTGCAAATACTGCATATGTTCCAGAATCTTCTTCTATTGTATAAGCTATATCCAGTGCCACATAACCAAATTCGGACGTGTGAGAAAATCTGTTGCTATTTCCTAAAGGCGCTCCATCCTTGAACCACTGAATTTGCATTTTTGGATCATTTATTGGTATCACCCTAGAATAAATATATACTAAAAGATTTTCTTAATTAATGGGCGATCGCCTTTGTGTGTAGTGCATCTTAATACTTTAATGTGTTTGCATCCATGAAATATTCACTGGATCTAATATCTCAATGTATATCAGTTTTGACAGGAAATGACCTTGTTTCGAAATGAACAGGTTGTCCTTCAATTCTTTCTGCTGGCTGCAACATTTCTGTGAACTTTGGTGGACCATGTTGCAACTCTACAATATCTGCAGCCTTCTCTCTAGGTGCTTCAATTATCTGAATCCTTTGCCAACTTTCAGGATGTTGACTGTCACTTAAGATCACGTTTCCACCAGTTACAGTGAAAATTGCCGACGAACGTGCCTCACCTAAAAATTTAAGATAAATGAGTTTTTTCTTCTTTTCGTATGCTATTTAAAAACAATCATAATTTTTGTCTAACCAAGATCATTACGCACGACACATTCCCATTGACCACTATCTTCAGGAAATGCATATAAAATATCTAATGCAACATATCCGAAGTCGTGTGTCATTCGAAATCGATGAGCATTAACAAGTGGTCGCCCATCGTGGAACCATTCCACAGTCAACTGATTATCATTTGTCGGTTCAATCTGAAAACCAAACAGGTGACGAAAAAAAGTTGATGAAAGTTGAACAAAAGAATAAAAGCGATATAAACATATGGAGGCAATATTTATTTGAAAAACGAATTATATTTATTTAATCATTGAAAAATAGCTCATTTAAAGAAATTCGCATGAAATACCTTTGCCTCAACATGAATAGGACTGCCTTCAGTGAAACTGCCAATTTGCTGAGGTAAAGGCACAACAAAGTTAGGAGCTATCTTCAACGGTTCTTCATAAATTGGCTCTTGTGGTCGTCGATTTTCAATATCTTGAATTCTATTCCAAGATTCTTCATGCTGAGTGTGTAAAAGAAGTGCATCAGTCGCTTAAAAAATTCGATGAGGAATAATTGCGAATAAGGCCAAAAATGGCCTTTAAAAAATTAGGCAGTTGATTATAAATTATTGGCACTTATCAATGTGAGTTTATCATTAGCCAAGGAAAATTCAGTTCAGAAGCTTGTTGACGTGGGAACTATCAAAACAGATTTTAATTACGTTAAAATAAAAATAGTGGAACAAACGTTGGCATTTGATGGTGCAGGATGTTGTAGCCTCACCAAATTCGCTAATCGCTCGACAAGAATATACTCCAGAATCTTCTCCATAGACAGCAAGAAGATCCAAATTAACATAGTCGAAATTACGGGCAGGCATGAAACGACTCCCTAAATACTTTTGTGGCGTATTAATCTTGCGTATATTTCAGAATATTTAAAATAAAATTAACCTTCCGGAAGTGGCTGACCATTCTTTGTCCAGTATACTTTAAGTGTAGGATCATTAGCTGGTTGTAACCTGCATTCAAGCCTTATTCTATCTCCTTCAACTACACCATCTATATTCTGAAAAAATGTAAGCAAATTGACTTCATTAATTAACTATGAATAAAAAAAATCCAGTCCTTCTTATTTTCAAAACAGAATTACATAAAAGCTCACTTGCAGTGGAACAATAAAAGTAGGGGGAGAAAAGACCATGTCCGGCGAAGGTTCACGAATATCTTCATGATTTTCCATTTCCTGGATTTTTACCCAAGAATTGGCATGTTGCGTTTCTAGATAAATATTTCGCCTGGCTAAAATCTTGCAAATTGTGTTAAATTGGAAAAAACCTTTGCAAAATCTTCAAAAACAAATAATTTTGGATATTTGATGCAATTTATGTCATAACTGCTAGATTTTTTAATTCTTACATGAGGTGAATATGAAACTCCCTCCCTATCTTCAAAAATTGGACCAGATGAAATCTGTATATAAATTTTCTTTGCATTTTGAACATGTCGCCAGATATTTTAAATTTAGCGGAATTTGGTAAAACATATATAAAAAGGAAAAAGAATCAATAAATTGATTAAATTGTAATGATAAATTTGTGAGCCGAATTAAAAAGAATTGTTACGTTTGCATTCCATGAAAAACTCAGTAGTAGCTTCTCCTGCTGCATTACTTGCTTTGCAAATGTAGAGGCCCGAATCTTCTGGATGAACATGAAGGAATTCCAACCCAACATAACCAAAATCATGAATTGTACGAATACGAGAACCAAATAGTATTGGATAGCCATTTAAGAACCATTCTATCTAAATTTAAACATAATAATAATGATACACCACTACCTATGTTAGCTAAAAATCTGAAAAGAAGAGCATGAATTTTAAACTGAAATTAAAGTGCTATTTAAGGAGATTCTCACTCAAAAGCATCATAGAAAGTTTTTAAGATAATAGTGAAAAATATTTCATCATAAAAATTAGAAAGAATATATGAATAAAAACTGTGATTAAAAAAAATAACTTTAAAAAATAAAATATTAAACTGAATTAGCAGCTGGCAAATTTAGCAAATTTGATTTTTAACCTTCAAATTAGGATCGTTAATTGGTTGAACCATACAGTCCATGTGAACAGATTGACCTTCCTTGAGGACCTCTGTCGGTCCTACAAGATCTTGTGTGAATACAGGATGAGTCGGAATAAATTCATCCTCCGACGGTTTTGCTGGCTGAATTGATTCGATCTCCTGAATACGTCGAAGACTTTCTGGATGACTAGTGTCAAATAAAATGCTTTTCAATCTCTCCACCTCAAACTTTGTTGAAGTTTCAGCTTTTCCTGAAATAAATATATAATACATGCGACAAAGGATTTTATTCTGGATCAAATATAAATAAAATAATAAAATATAAATAAATAAATTGTTCTGGTCATTAATATCGGTGTATATCGGTGTATCAAAAAATTGCTTTTAATGATGCTAACCTGCAGGGTTAGAAACAACGAGAGTATATGTACCAGCATCTTCTTCAATTATATAATGAATATCCAGCGATACAAATCCGAAGTCATTCATCAACCTGTGTCGACTGCTTGCACCCAATGGATGTCCATTATGCAGCCATTCCACCTTAAATGATGAAAACAATCGTTTAAAAGAATCTCTCATAAAATTTATTGCTTTGTTGATTTTTACACCAGGCATATGTATATATGTTATATTGTTAGAAATAAATATATGTTCTAAAAAGATCCATTCACTTTGCCAGTAGAATCTTCTTTAGTATTCAACTCTTCAAACCCTTCAAATTCCACCTTATCTTACCGTCTTCTTCTTTTTCGTCTAACACCTCTCACCATCATTGGTTAAGCGGGCTCCAACGGCTGCAAGGGTGAAACGCTTCCAAGCGGCGCGGTCTGATGATATCGTCGACAGTGATGGAAGCCATTCCTTTTTCCATCGTCTAAGTCCATATATTGCTGGTCCATCTATACGTTCAAAATCTTTCCTAACCGTATCATTCCAGGTCTTGATTGACCCACCTCGCTTTTGACGTCACCCACCACATCGTTTAGCAAGTAATGAAATATGCGACAACTCTTGTATCTTACTGTCTTAACTTCCTCTGAATCGGTTATACTTCCTTTTAAACTCTTAGATACCATTACAATATTTTAACCAACTTGATTTTTCTAAGACCAATATTTCCTTTCAACTCATTTATACTAAGTTATGAGTCGGGTCCTTTTACTATTACTGGTTAGATTCACTCTACTGGCTTGTAGAACTGGACAAATATGCCGGGGAGTGCCTTGGCGATAAAAATGTAGGTGAGTCGCCAGCATCAACCAGATTTTTGAAGAAGTTTACTACTGCGAGGCCTTAAGCCCTCACATAGTATCTTAAGATACTACCGTAACTTCTCAACAAATTTCTCAAAATCTATTATATGATGTTTCATATTCCAAAAATCTCCTAATCCTCTATAATATTCAGTCAAACCTCGTTGTATTCTACCAGTACAACTCAACAATAACACCTAAAATTCTGCTACACCATGTTTATTTCAACAGATCCCTCTCTGGTACCACAATACGTTGTCGCTGTGCCCTTTTCTTATAATCCATCAATATTTTTTAAAACCGTTATAACCATTACTGCTAAATCTCGAGACTCAGTATTGAATCTCTGAATAACTTTTACAGAACATCATATTCTGTAGGAAAAATCCCCAGAATATCCTCATAAGACGTGAAAATTCTGCTATAATCCTTTATCAACCGTTACAATCCGTTGGTGTTACCACTGAGTTCCATCTCTTTCTTTAACCCCCAGCTTCAACCCTTTCATACCTAATTCAAAGCCATCTATCCCAACCTTTTTCTTTAACGCCACAGTCCAGTCACAAACTGTAAAACTGCATACACTGAAAATTGCATAGAATTGAATGATGAAGGAACATAGAGAGAGAGAATTTAATTATAGGGATATGAGGGGGTCAGAATACCACATCAAACTTCGAAGAAATGCTATAAGAATGCAGTGGCTCTAAAAAATATCAAAGATACGCCAAAGTTCTAAGAGAGAATTCTACCTGCCCATAGGACAAGTAGAATCATTTTTCTTATTAAATAAAATAATTTATGGTAATGGGTACAGCTACTATTTCACAACCTGCTGTATTTCCTTGACAGTTTTTTTTTATACCGTTTTGGCGCTACCTCGATCCAGTTCCATTTCCATTTCCAAATTCCATTCTAATCCCATCAAAATCCGACGTACTCTTATCATTACCCATTAACAATGTTTCCTTAAACCTCTTCCTGTCCTGATTCCTTTACTTGCATTCACTTATCACAGCTTAGCATAACCCTTCCTTTAGTGCCTTATCAAATTTCGCTGGACAATCTTGGTCATACAAATAATATTTCTTTTGATCTATAATCCATTGAGACCTCAAACCCAGTTTTACCTCCCTATCTCCATAAAACTGCACTTGTTAGTGACCAACCTCTTTAAAAAATTGCCTTAAACTTTACTATAGTTAAGATTCCTTTAGACCTAACAATTTCTCCTTGATAAAACTCCTTCACTCTTCTGATTCCTTAAAACTCTCGAATTTCTCTTTTAATGCTATTATTTTAGTTTATTCTTCGAAAATTATTTTTCTTTTTTTTTTTTTTTAACCTTTGTAAGACGCCCCTCTTTGCCAATTTTTCAATGATTAAACATAAATTGCAATGCACTTAGTTAGAATGCTTCTGAATTAAAAGTGAATGAGTGGTGAAAAAATATGAAGGAAAGTTTGGAAAGTTAGGAATTGGGGTGCGAATCAAGTTGAATGAAAATTTGGCGAATTGAAAGTGATTCGATTTTTAAGTTTTTAGGAATCTGAGATAATAATGGTTATGTTGCGACTTGAAAACTGCATTAAACGATCACAGAGGTCCAATTTGATATTTTTGCATCTGATAAATTTCGTGCCAGTAAATGCCTTTTTGCGTCTTTTGAAGGCATATTTAAGCATTAAGCATTATAGATAAATATTCATATCAAGTAAAATATCCATTAATCGCTTGACAATTCCAACATTAAAACACTCAAATTTCTAGTTTTCTAGAGAAATGATTACCACTTTTTGATGCAAAAACCAACCTCATAAATTTATCATTATACGTTTTTGAAAATAATCCATAAATTAAAAAATTCAAAAATGGGGTAAAATAGTGAAAAATAAAAATTGCAAAGTTACTTTCAACTGATTATCATCAACTGGAAGAATCTGCGCTTCAAGATGAAGTGTTTGACTTTCATGAATATTTCCTAAATCAGGGGGCAGTTCTCTGACAATTTGTGGAGGCTGGCGAGGAGCTTCTGGTTTTCCTTCTTCCTTTTGTAATGGCATCTCAAGTTCGCGTATTCGTTGAATAGAATTCGGATGAAATGATTCAGTGATCTAAAGACATTTATAAATATCAGAATTTCTTAATTTTTCAATGATTATTTTCTTCATCTTATTTGAACAATTTCCTTAGAAAAATTGTTGCTGATCGTAAAATTCATAATTCACCATAATAATATCGTTTTCAATCAATTAAGAGACTTACCATATTACCTTTAACTGCACAATCAATATCTATAACTGACTTGGCTTCGCCAGCTTTATTCCTTATGATAAGTTCATAAGTACCACTATCTTCCGGATACATATATAAAATGTTTAGTGCGACGAAACCAAAATCATGACTCAGAACAAATCGATGTGCTTTCATGAGTGGTTTGCCATTTAGAAGCCATTCATACTGCAATTTTAAAAAATTGAAAAATTATGCATATTAGGTAAAATCTAATAAATATTTCAGCATAAAATCAAACCGTTAATGAATTGTCATCAACTGGTACAATCTGTGCTTCGAGATAAACATTGTCTCCTTCTGTTACATATATCATATGACCATCGCCGAGATGTTTAATGAATTTTGGTGCCTGTATAAATTTTTAAGTTGTAAAGATGCTTTAATCGATATTTCTTCTAAATGTTCGCCAAAAATTCATAATTGATTCAATAAAAATAAATTTAAAATTTTTGAAATTTTTTTCTTTCGGGATTTATTATTACTATTCTTTTTACTTCCTCATAACAACCCGGTTTCGTAGCCAGTAATATTTCAAATTTTATGAAGATGCTTTTGAAGATTTTATGAAGATTAATCAATAGATCAATCCAATCAGTTAAGAGCTTTTACCCTAAGCCTCAATGAAGCCATCCAAAGAAGCAATGCTGTGCTTTGAGCTGTTAGAAGAATTAATTATTCATAACTAACAAGAAATACATGAGATTGCAGACCTGCTTTTCTATTTCTGGGCCTTCTTCAGGAGCCGTTTTTGGTGCTTCGATCTCGCGAATCCTTGCAACACTTTCCGGATGATTAGTCTGGCCAATTATTGCTGCCTTTGCTAAAGCAAATTTCACAAAACGATTAGGCGAATTTGGAAAGGTTGTCATAATTTATTATATTGAAAATCTCAGAATTTATAAAAAAAGGTTTAAAAACTTCACGGAATTGAAATGAATATTTAAGTAGTCGCATAGAACAGAATACAAATAGAAACATAAGATTTTTCAAATCAGACGAGGAAAAGCACCAAATTTTGTTTGCAGAGAAGTGCAAACAACCTACGCTTTGTGAACACAAGAACAGTGACTAATAGCAACTAACATGTCTCTAAACAAGTCAACGAATAAATCATAAAATCAAATTCTCATTTTTAATACATCAATAAGATCTCTTCACATTCACTTCTATATTTATTAATTCGCTAACTATTGCACAAATGTAATTTGCAATTTGTATCTAATAATCTCCTAAAAGAATTATTTGTTAAAAATGATTTTGAAACCTTTGCAAGTAAAGCTGACGGCGGTTTTAGCCTCACCCATAGCATTTTTTGCAACACATATATAAGTACCAGTATCCTCTGCATAAACATCCAATATGTCTAACGAAACAAAACCGAAATCGTGATATGTACGAAAGCGATGACCTAAAGTGATAATAATCTCAAAATTACGCAAACATTATGATTTCAGATTAAATTTGTTTCAATTTAATCTCTCATATTTAACAAAAAAAATTTATCGAAGAAATTGTAAAAAAAGTTAGGAAATAAATAGTTCTTTATACTATATCATAGTGTAAATTAAGAATACCTGTAGGAATAGGTTTCCCTTCTCTTAACCAAGTAATTGAAAGTGTATTGTCATTGAGTGGCACGACTTGGCATTCCAGATGCAATGGTGTCCCTTCTTCAATCTCGCCAATATTGCCAGGAAGCGGTCGCACAAATTGTGGTGCTGTCTTAACATCTTCAGTGGCAATAACTTTTGAAATCTTTTCGCCTCACAATAAAACAATAGATTTAAAATCTTTAAATGAATTAAATTGTTTATCCTTAGAAATCACCTGGGGTATTTGATCTTCAACTTCTTGTCTACCATATCGATTCAAGTTTTCAATCTCTTGAATTTTTCCCAAACTTTCCTGATGCTGCGTTTCAGAAAGAATAGTTGCATATGCTTAAAAACTGTTGATGAGAAAACGCGATTCATGAAAAAAGAAAGCTGGCATTTAAAAACAACAAGAATTCAAACATACGTTTAACCGTTACACGGCATTCCTTTGTGGCTTCGCCTAGTGCATTAGTGGCCTTTAGAGTGTAAATGCCTGAATCTTCAGCAATAGCCCCTCGAATATCGAAAGTTATAAATCCAAAATCATACTGCATTTTGACCCTAGATCCAGCGAGTATTGGATGACCATTAATGAACCATTCTACGACCATCGTCGGATCATTAATGGGTTGCAGCTGAAATTCGAAGATGGCATGAATTTCATCTCAAATCCCTTTTAAATTTCCATCTTTAAATTCTATCTCTGTTTAGAAAATGTGGTTAACTGAGGTTTATAGCAAGGTTCGCAAACTTTTGTTACCTTTTAAATCACGAAAAATCACAAGAAATCATTGGTTAATAAAAAGAAAAAAGAACAATTACTTTGATATCAAAATGTATATTATCATTTTCATTCAAATTCAAATCCTTTAGATCTCCTAAGAAACGCGGCGGATTATCACAAACACGATCAGCGGGGTGCTCGAGCGGCCGAATACGAGTCTGTTCTAATTCTTGAATCCTTTCGAGTCCTGAGAATTAAGATAATAAAAATAATCATAGCGCAAGAATAAATCAAATCAATTATAAAATTTCAAATTTCACTTTGAAAAATTTCAACACAATCGGAATGAACAAATAATAACGAATAGTTGATATTTTAAAATTTTTGATTAATACCTTCAGGATGATGAGGATCCAAGTAAAGTGATTTCTGTGAATTAACTATCAAATCAAGGCTACATTGAATTTCACCAAGTTCATTGCGTGCAATAACAGTATATGTCCCAGAGTCTTCTGGGTAAGTATAAAGTATATCTAAAGCCACATAACCAAAATCAAACATAGGGCGAAATCTATGAGCTGCAGCAAGAGGCGCACCATTATGGTACCTGAAAAGAAATATTTATAAGCAGCCAGGTTTTTAAATCAAAGAAAAAATTCTCGGCGCAATATCCCCGTAGTATTTGTCGTAATAGGTGGTAAACATATGAATCATTTCATTAAGAGTTAATCATATTAATCATTAAGAGTTAAAGTTAAAGTTCTTTAACTAATAATTTCAATTAATGATTATAATTTTTCTCCAAGTCACCGCGAAATGCCTAAATCTAAGAGAATTTTCATCCTTTTATGAGATTTATCGAAATTATATGAACTGCCAATATATTTTATAAATTAGCATTGCATTTCTAATCTAAGCAATAAATTTTACGTTTTCCTATTCATCCACATTTATATATATATATATATATATACAAACTATAATTGGCGAATTATTGCAAAAAAATCCTAAGCTTAAATAGCAAGAAGAGATGATCAAACTGCGAAGCCTGAGGATTTGAATCTCCATTTGAATGTTAATTAGTGCGATGATTATTCTCGTTATGGGTTCAATTACATAAACTAGGCAAATAGAATTGTATGATCAGATCTATAAAAGATCCTTATTTAAAAAAAAAAAAAATTGAGTGAAAAAATAATACCATTCCACGGTCATTTTTACATCACTTGCTGGTTGTATACGACATTCAAAATGCACAGGATCATTTTCATTTACTTCTAACCGATTCGCAAGTTTTCGAGCAAACCTTGGTGGTTCAATACTGCTGAATTCTTCTGGTCTCTCGATCGATGGTGGGCCAATATGAACCTAAAGGAGAATTGAATATTCGAAGTCGTTTTGAGCTAATTATTTTATCACCTAAAATATCAAACCAATGTGCCAATTGAGACAATTAACATAAGTTGAGAGAAATAATACAAAAATTAATTTACTTCATGGCTGTCTAAATATCCGATTTGAGCCAGAGACTGCTCATGTTTACTATCGGTTTGTAGTGATTCTACATACATAGTTGACAAATGAGCACTGCTTTGTGCCTCACCATAAGCATTTCTCAGTACACATGTATATGTACCTTCGTCTTCAGGATATGTAGGATGAAGTGTTAGCGACACACAACCAAAATTTTCAAATATCTGGAAAATAAATAGTGGTCGAATCAGACATAAATGATTGATGGTACTGATATTTTGAATAAAAATTAATTTATTTTAAAATATGAATAAAGTTTGGAATCTGAACATCATAAGAATTCTTTATTAAAGAAGTCATTGTCACCAACAGTGCTAAAGAATGATAAACCTGAATTCTATTTGCATTTGGAAGGGGTCGACCATCTTTCAACCATATAACTTTCAACGTAGGGTCATTAAATGGAGCTATTCGAGCTTCAAAATATGAACGACCCAATTCCTGTTTACAATCACAATTTCTTAACTGAAAATGAAACAAAATATGCAATTGAGACAAAGAACTTAAAATTAGATACAAAAGGGCAAATAAGTAATATTTTTCTTTATATCACATCAAAATTGATTAGAAGAAGCTTTTGTCAAGTACAGAAATAAAGTTATTTCCGGAAAAGATCAAGAACTTACCTGTGAGAGGAAAACGGGAGCTTGAGGAGACTTATCCTGTATATACTGGAGTTCACGAGCATCTTCAACATCTTGAACAATATGCTCATCATACTGCGGCATTCGAGCTAAATCAAAAGAATCATAAATGGCAGATAAAGAATACGAATACGTAAGGCTATACGCTATTGATCATGACAACACACAGGCTTTTATTTATAAGCTTATCAATTTTACCTACCTATATCTACTGTTTAAATAAATAAAACTGAAAAGAAACAGCTAGACCTATGTGATTTCGCCTCAAAAAAAATAAATGAAATTTACGTTGAACGATGATAGTAGCAACCGTTTCGGCGACTCCGATTTCATTGGTTGCTCGACAAGTATATAATCCAGCATCAGATCTAGAAATATTTGCCAAATCCAATGAGACAAAGCCGTAATCATTGGACAATTTGATACGATTGTCTATAAACTCAGAAGATGAAATATTAATGGCATCAACATCGCATTCATTTTAAAAAATATTAAAGGAAAAGACAAATAGGTACAAAATACGCTAAGTAAAAATTCCTAAACGGATAGGGATATAAGTTAGCAAAAAAGAATGGTAAATTTCTTTGCAATGAAGCAAAAGAATTCTTTGTGAAGATCATTAAGCTAAGGAATAAAATGTTTAAGCCATACAAATGACATTAAATCCCGAATGATTACATAATAGTGATAAGATAAGAATTTACAATGATTACTTGCTAACAGGCAATTTCCATTCAAAAACCATTCTACTTTTAGCTTGGAGTCATTTGATGGCGATAATTTGGTTTCGAGATGTATATTGTCTCCCTCAAATACTTCCATTGACCTAAGTTCACTATGAAAATTAGGCATTTCTGCTATCTGAATCGAGTTTGATGCACCTTCTATTTTTGACTGATAACCGCTACCAAACTTATCCAAATTCGAAGAATCACTTAATACCGCACGATGGCCTAAAATTATTATAGACAAATATTTCTAAAGAACATATCTTTTTACCTTACCTTATTATCTTTTGTACATTTTTATTATATGACACGGTTCTTTCTATACACTAATTGATTGTTACTGTTTTCTGATGTAGATGTAGAAAATTAACAGGGGAAAATGGAGAAAAAAAGAAAAAGGATTTTGCTATCTAATAAGAACTCTGACTATGGCGCAGTACCGAATAAATCGAAAGCACGATATATTCGCTACAATAAAAATCTTTTAATTTGGCTTTTAGATCCGGTGATAAAATCGAAATAAACAACTGTTAAGCTTGCTTTCAGAAAGCACCAAAAAAAAAAAAATTAATTAACCAGCTAAATCGCACCATTTCGTTTGAAAGATTATGCAAAATGGATATAGTAAGAATTGAATTGTGAAATATAATAATAAAAATGTCCTTGCATGAGATTTTAAATCTAAACCTACCAACAACATCGAGGTGTACAGAATGCCTTGCTTCGCCCAACGAGTTAACAGCAACAACTGTGTATTCACCTCGATCAAAAACAGTTACTGGATTAATTTCAAGTGCTGCATATCCAGACTCACATACAGTCGATATACGTGAGCTAACTAACAATGCCTTAAATATTTCTGAAGTTTTTCATCTCGATCATATGCTTTCTACGATTCATATAAAACTGCGAGGCAACAAATAGAACCAAGTGTGAAGGAAATAAAGAGCGCAAATGAGTTTATCATACAAAAGAAACAATCATCGAGCTGTATAGATTTTTATCGATAAAATTAGATTCTCCTTTGAATTTTACCAAATTCAGTAATAATTTTCATAATAAAAAAATTTTTCTTGCCTTTTCATTCAATAACCAAGCGATTTTCAGATTTGGATCGTCAGCAGGAGCAAATTGGCAATCGAGAAGGGCTGTCTGACCTTCGATTAGATTAAAGCTCTTTGGTACAGAAATAAACCTAGGAGGTTCTCGTGATGGTGCAGCATGCATCTCATCGTCTCGTCGCATACCATCTCTGTGAAAAATATTCTATGCTGTTTCTTGAGATAAAAAAGAATTCAATTTCTCATATTGAAACGATATTTTGGTAGAGAAAGTAAAAAAAAAAGTCGGCTAATTCTGGCTTTTTATATTGCTAGCAGTTAAAAATATGAATACTGGACTGGTGTGCTATAAATATTTAAAGTTCAATCTTCAGAAGATAAACAAGACGTATTATTCTAGTAAACATCATGAAATTGCCCAAACAACAATAAATAAATACCTGGCTAACCGCCGGTCGACTTTTCTTAGAGTGATTTGCTCTCGTGGTGTATTTAATTTTTGTCGAGATTGGACGACAACTCGTCCCTAAAATTGAGTATAGAGTAATTGAGTAATTGAGTAAAATTGAGTACAGCACAACCAATGATGAATGAAATCTAGAAAAAAAAAAGTATTATATTCCATATTACTCAATTTATTAAATTAATCATAAAACTAATTCTATGTATCTTTTCCTTTTTTATTTGTTTCATACTTTTAAAGATGAGGTTCCTCCATCATTCGTTGCATCACATTGGTACCAACCACCATCTGCCATTTTGGCTCCAGAAATTACCAATGTAGTTTCGCCATTGCCTTTATCTTCAATCCTTTAAAATGCGCTTTTTTTTATCGTAATTATCGTAAGCCTTAGATAAAAGTCGTTGAAAAAACAATATTTTCTAGCAAAATATTCGTGTATCTTTATTTTGCTTCTAAACTCTTATAACAAACTTGTAGTTTCCGCCCGTCTTAAGCAAAGTTCCATCCTTTGACCAGCTCATTCTTATTCTTTCTCCTGCTGCCTTGCAATAAAGCGTTAAAGAATCGCCTTCATTAATTGTAACAGACTGAAATTTTCCCACAAACTGTGGTGCTGCACTTTTTCGAGGCTCTGAAAATTTTCAATAATACAAAAATTTAAAATTTCAAAGTTGAAATTTTTAGCATTGCAATGGTAAAAAGATAAGAACTTACAATAGGAGTGATAAAAGAACCTTTTGGTGAGAATTTTCTTTGCATATAAATCTTTGTAGATTGTTGATAAAAATTTTAAGCAGTGCTAAATAATGTTGGCACCTTACAAGATTATTCGTTTTAGAACACAGGAAAAAAAACTTTAAACAATATTTTATGCTAACCAAGCACATTTAACGAATGTCTGGTTTGAACAGCACCACCTGAATTTTTTGCAATACAAAGATATGTATCAGCATCGCTTGCAGTACATCTATCAATTTTTAATCGCCAAAGACCGTCCTTATCCACTTCAGTTCGAATACGGCCACCAGATGAAATTTTGCTTCCATCTGATCTCATCCATTCTATCTGAGGTGGTGGATCGCCGAACGCCTGAAATAGATCTGATTTTTTCTTGGTCTAATGAAATATTTCATCAAAAAAAAAATACTTTAAGACCAATAATAATTGCAATAAAATAACGAATTATAAATTGTATAAATTATTAGAATAAATATTGTTGAACTTGCTTTAGCTTCAAATGTAACATTTTCACCACTATTCACAGTATTAGATCCAGGCACTATCGTAAACTGTGGAGGCTTTGGAGCTCGCCTGAACGCTTGGCCACTCATCTAAAATTAAGTACTTTTTATAAGGCGTAGAATTTTTGATATTCCCGGATAGACTGTAGTTTAGCAAAATTGCCTTAGCTTGTTGTTGCTGTAATGCGTTCTTTTGCATTACAGACATTTTTTGCGGATTCTCCTGATAGATTTGTTGGTGTGGATTATGTTGTTGATATTGCTGTTGGTATTGCTGTTGATAATTAAGTTGTGCTGGCGATGGTGCTTGTTGAAATGAATATTGCGGCAATGAATATTCTCGTGGATACTATAATTCATAGCGATTAAAACCATTTAACTTAAAACAATCTATGAAAGAGCACTCATTATTTTTGATTAGATTTGTTGTATTGTCTTATCGGATCAGAGGAATTCTAGAAAATATTTCACCTGTTGATTTCCCATAGGGACGCAGATTAGTACAGCATTACTCGGAGGAGAGGGGAAGTCATCCTTGCGGGGGAATGGAACCATTTCAAAAGCGATATTATTCAAAACTAGAAACCTTTCGATAATGCAAATCTTCTTCAAAAGCTCTTTCGTAATGTCCTTTCTCGTTTATACCAAAATAATATTTGTCGGAACGCTCGTTTACCTATAAAATGGTACCACTTATATAGAGGAAAAACATTCCCTACATTCCTCACCTCAACCCAATGGTTTTGCATTTAAAAATAACCTAAATTTTTATCAATCAAATCAATTTGACGCACCAATTTCAGGTAGCAACAAAAATACGCGGCCTCAAAGTCGCATAGCACAAAAAACATCTGAAGGTTTTCCTATTTATTTTAAACTTCCTTATAGTTCCCTCAAAGCTTAATCCATTAGAAATTATTGTGGTTCTTTGGTAGGCAGTTCACTTTGTTATAGCCTCAAAATTCCCTTAATTCTCTTTAACGCCTTATCAAATGTACGTTTCCGTTAAAACCAGGTAGTAACGCTCCCTACACGTATTAAAGTCATCAAACCATGATGCTATAATACGGTTCTCAGCGATTCTCAACGGTGACCGTGGCAAAAAAATCTGGAAAAAAGTGGAGAGATAAAGGAATTGTCCAAGGGGGCCATGAAGCTATATGAGGGTCAAGCTAAATTAATAAAATTTTCCAATTGAAGGAGTCCACAGAGCTAAGCAAGTCCACGATAAGGTCGATGAGATTAAAAAGGCTGAGGACCACTGCTCCAAAATACTACCAAAATCCGTTGAGCTCTTCATTTGGAACCCATTAATACTCCTCAAAAAGCGGTTATACGATCTATGAAATATCGGCCGCTTGTTAAAAGCGTTCAACCCCTTAAAATCTATGATCTTTTATAAAGAATCTTCCAAAATCCCATTAAAATGTGCTTCCAAATGTGCTTTATTACTTTGCATAACTCGCTACTGGCACCATTCTGAAGCTCTTTCTACCGCTTCGCTTCTCTCAAACCTAGTTCAGTACCACCCACGTCCATTTTGTTCTCTTAACGGCTCCTCAAACCTCGCAATGCATTTTTGCCATTGCCGTCAAACGGTGAAGGCTGCCATTAGGATTTGATTCGAACAAACAGTTAACCTTTATCAAAGATCAGTGAAGGATTGATTGATTGATAAAAAAAATTTGGCTGTTAAAAAGCAACTTTCATCATCCATAATAATCATAATAAAACGACGAGAAAACAGAAAAAAAGCTAGAGAACAACCAAAGGAGTTTGAAAATGTGAAAGCTTTTGGTATTGTTGATCGCTTAATGAAGGAAATAAAAACCCTGCGGGCCAACCCCAAAAGTAGTTTTTGCCGTTGCCATTTGCCGACAGCGATAGCAACATATATTATCAATCACAAAACTGCTAAAAAGCAACATAACCATAGGGGATTTCGAAGGCGAGTGCCTGGTGCCTGGAATAAGAATAACAAGTTCTTAAAACCTGTTGTTAGAATTCCCCAGAAAGTCTCTTTATCACCTTTAAAAACTTATCAAGACGCATCACATTCTTTTGTTAAAAACAGTGATAATTCTTTAAATACTGTACTTACAACCCGCTAACCAATGTTCTTTGGTTAATACGTGCAAAATCTCATTCCGCCATATTCAAAAAATTCCGTATTCTGTGAAAAATCCTGAACGCTACCATTTATGCTCTAAACACCGCCAAAACCCAACTGTTTACTTTTCCAGTAATTTATTATCACATTATTTCGAGCGTTTTTTGCGAATAACAGAATCATCTTGTGGTTTGGAGTATCGAAAGATTTAGTGGGAACTAATGGTTACTTAGAAAAAATTAAAAAAATTTGGTGGATCGATGAAATTAAGGGAATACAACGGCTTTTGATGAAATTTCGAGAAGTAAGGTTTGAAGACAGTTGTAGCTGTACGAAGAATTGATCTACTTAACTTAATTGGTTCCTCGAAACCTGCTAGTCTCTCCTAAAACCTGCTAGGCATTCCTCAAAAAACCTCTCCGTACTATTGAAATCTGCAACATTGCTCCAAATCTTCTAGTACAATTTTTTTCTTGGTCCCTTAAATATCAAAGAACACATTGTCCTCCCTTCCTAAGCCTAAGCCCTCCTTAACCATTTTTAACATCCCACCAAGGAGCACCGTTAAAACTAGAATCTTGTTGCCAAACTCGTCGTCTCCTTTGTTAAGATTCGCTCTAAAATAGATCACTAACTGTTCGAGCGTGTTTCAGTTCTTTGCAGTTCCAAACTGCGGTAATTACGAGCTTAACATCCTAAAGCTCTCCTGTACTCGAGCCATTAGTAACTTCATTTTAACTTCATTCATTCACTTTCCGGTCATTTCATCTTTCAGACCTAATTGTAGCTTTTTCCTCATTACATATCCATTTTATTTCCTTAACATTTCCCTCTTAAACTCGCCCTCTACACCCGCAGCCATAAATTGAAAAAAACACAGGAGACTCGATCATTGTGAGGAAAATAGTAGGGAACTGAAGGAGATGCTCGAGAAGAATTTTATGAAGTTGGCTAAATGCGAAAAATGATTCGGAGCATTGTTAAAATCAAAGAGTGTGGGGGAAGTAAGTCTGCCAATGCTGCATCCATACGATGGAACTAAGTGATAATTATTTTTTTACTCATAGTTAATCTTCGCTTTATAATTAATGGTTCTATTAATGATTTTACAAAATAAAAAAAAAAAAAGAGAAACTGAAAAATTAAATTAGAATATTTATAGCTAAGCGAACAAAATAATTCTATTAATTCAAATGATTGACATGAGCAACTGCTTTTCATTAACGAAATTCCGATATTTTTCATTTGAGATTTAAAAATGAAAAACTAAGAATATATAAAATTTATAACTTTAATTTACATAAACAAAACAATAAAAAATTAAAATCGGAAATCATTTCGCTATCAATTTGTCAAAAGCTTTATTATTTTCTTTTTATGGTCATAAAAGATGAAAAATGAAAAAAATATTTTTTTCTAAAATAAATTGTGAAAAAACTTAAACTATGCTATATGATAAAAAAAAAATCAGCCAAAATTTAAACGAACATTTGATCGTTCGACATTTCGATTTTCCACATAGTTTTCATGAATCTTTGGATAATCAGGCTGAAAATGCTTAATATAAATCAAAAAAAGAAAATAATAAAAATGAAAAGTAAAATTAGGTACTTTAAACAGTATTCGAATAATATCAGATTAATGCACCTTAGGATCATTTGCGGATAAAATAATGGTTAGTTTTTGGTCAGAAACTGATATCTAACAAATAGTTGTCAATAGTTGTGGCTCATTCTTTAGCCAGATTAAATCGTATTCCACAACCAATGTAAACATCGACTTATACTACTGTCATAAATTATAGTTAACGATTTATTTATGTTGCTTTTCTTGTTTCCTCTTAAATATTAACAAAATAAACTATGGTGCATCTTTATTCGTTTGGTACGAATTTCGCTCAAATAATTGTTTGGATCCTTTTACTCTCAAAAATTACAATATCAATATTCAGCTTATCACGCTTAAGATCTAATAAAACGTGGTACTTATTGATGAATTCTCTGAAACATTTAGACAAATCCAAAATTTCATGAAATTAAAATAATATTCATACATATTGCTGGTATAAGGCTTGTTGAACACGCGGTAAGTAGTAATTCTGAAACGCAAATAAAATAAAGATGCGAAGAAAAAAACTGCAAATTTAAATGATGCTGCATTAATTTAAGGTTATAGCCCCTATGATTAGATGGAACTCATAGGCTTACAAATGAAGCCTTCTAATTTATTAGAACTGAATGATGATTTACTATAAATTATAAAGATTTTGCCTATACTGCGATGTTTCTCTGTCATGCTTTAGATTATTTATCTAATTGGCAAAAGCTAAGCCATCCTTGATATTTGGACCTTCAAACTGTTGATTTAAATTTGGTGATAAGTTTGCTTTGCTTTGATAAGTCTTTTATCAATCTATATAAAAATTTTTTCAATTTCAAATCAACCTTTGTCTGGCCTTATCATTAAGTGGATTGCAAGCTCTAACACTATTGAATAGTTTCCTAGCATTTTTCAACGATGAAAAATCCTCGAGGACAATTGCCCTCAATTATGAGAAGCAGGAATTAATTTTCGAAGAATTAAGAAGGAAAATCAACATTGAATGGATCTAGTCACTTAAAACATTTTGAGTAAACACAGTTGACAAAGTTTTTAATCTTTTTACTTACTTCTTATTATTTGCCGATTCATCTTCCTTTCTTCCCTTATGTTTCCTTTTCGATTTTTTATAATGAATTTCTTTCTGATCATTTAGGATTGCAAAATTTTAATAGTCATAGTCAAAACTAGCATTTTCATTTTTATGGTTCTCTTAGTAAATTTAAAAAATGCACCAGCAAATTGAGGTTTCCTTATACTTATATTTCTAAACTTGTTTTCTTACAGAGTTTCATCCACAAAAACTCTATATTATAGGGATTGTTAAAAAGATAACCTAAAGAAAAGAGAAAATGAAGAGGAGAAAATAAAAACGAAAATTTCTTGAGCCAACAAAAAATAGCGAGCAGGAAAAATGCGAAAATTCGCAAGGAATTTCAGTTGCAAGTTTATTTACCTGGTTTTGTTGAATATAATGAGCTCCTTGCCTAATTTGTCGCTCTTCTTCCTCTATATGTCTTTGCTGATCGAACTAAAAAAATTTGAAATAATAAGCTATCAAAAAACCGAAAGCATATATAACGTCAATGTGGAGTCTTAATTGCAAGATAATTTCAGTTCTACTGAGTTTGCTAAGAAATAGCCAAAAGCATATAGCATCATTGTGGAACCTTAATTGCAAAACAGTTTCGGAACTATTGAGTCTTCAAAAATAATATTGCCACACCTTTTGTTGATGAATAATAGGCTTTTTCTGGACTTGGTATTCAAACTCGTCTTGTTTGAAATTTCTCACTGACACAGGTTGTTCGAATTGCAAAGGAAAGACGTCAACTCGAGCTTTGCTTTGAACCTGAAATATTCGAATGAAATTTATTTAAAAATTAAAAAAACTTGCGAAGATTGCAATGGAATGCATAGAATCATGCCAATATTTTTTGCCACATTATGATAAATATAAACATCTGGAATGATAAAATGACTCTCATTTCATATTTGTTATTACAACCACTATAATTTAAGCTAATAAAAATTTCAGAA